CCTATTTTTAAGCTCGTTACAACTGTCTGCTTAATTTTAAATGAATAAATAAATCAAATAAATAAATATATTTGTAGCTCATCAGTACTAATAGCGGAGAACTGATAATGCAATCAGTGATTTTAATCGCTCGATGCGCACAGCCTTTTGTTACATCGATAACAGAGCGAATTAGAGGCTATTGAATTGCCAACATTCAGGATTTTCCATTGCTTTTTCAAACTTGTCTATTTTTCCATCGAAACATTGGAATAAATTAGTCCAACTCACAAATTCATAGCAGTCTGTTCAATCTATTCAGCTCACATTTTTAAACATTTGCGTTTTTATTTATACTTATATTTTATTTTATACTTCGAATATTTAGAATCCATTTTTTTTTTAATTAACCAAATGTATTATTTTCCATATTATTCGATTCGCAATCAATTCGCATATTTTCATTTCCTTTCTTCAAAATCTATGATTTTAAAATTGAAGTAATTATTTAGACAAACAACAAGCATGCCAAAGAATGCTATGTGTAATTATCATAAAAAGAATTGTGGAGAAATAATAATGAAAATTAAATGAGCAAAATAATTAATGTATGGAAAATATCATATATACATATATATATATATATATAACTTTATTTAATTTCCTTTTAGAATTGGACACAGAGAGATATCTTTGGTTAATCTATTTGATTAATTAATTATTATGATTTAAAAATTAAATTATTTAAATTTGCCATTACGTTTAGATCTATATGTTAATAAAATTATAATTGTAAGATTATCACGCTTAGAGTCGGATAACTTTTCCCGTCCACTGGATAATCTTAATTGAATGGCTCAATGGTGTGAAGAAAGACATCATCCCTCGTGTCCAAAAATACAAATTCAAAAATAAAGCCTAACCTTCCACCAGTTTTTATTAATATTTCTATGCGTTTAAGCAACATTTCAGATCTGATATAAAGGCGGATAAAAATCCTGATTTTGACCTTCACTGTGGACAGTAGTAAAAAAATCCTCTAAGATAGAGAATTTATATTTTTATCGTTTAAAGAAGCATTCTTTACTGAAATATATAAAGCATTTATTCGACCTCTTTTGAAGTACACCATATCAGAGGCATCGCAAATTGAATAAATTGAAAAACTATAAATACTTTGTACATCGCCCTAAATCTAATAGTACCATTGACCACAAAAATATACAAAGAATATACTAAAAACTTAATTCATTACGCCTATTATTTAGGGTGTTTTTTTCCTCCAATTTAACCATTCAATGAGGTGATTCTTTATTTGTACTTCGTATTTTTAATTTTTTCACTTCAAAGAATTTCATGGCTTGATTAGAGCATTCATTGGATCACAGCTCTTCGGCCAAAATTTTACTTCTGGGCTTGATTTAGAAAATTTATTTACATGCTTATATACAAAAACATGTAGCCACGCGCTTAAATTCACGACACCATACAATAATAAAAACAATAATAAGAAAACGGTAGATAAGCTTGAAAACAAATTTAATTAAAAAATATGAAAAACATGAAAGATATATAAAAACATCAAATTATTTCATGATAACGAAAACGTTCATTTCGACTCATCGTTAAACCTTTATTGTGTGGCAATGCTATTGCTTAATTTTCGAAAAGCTATGCAATGATGGTGCACATCATAAGGTAATTTTCTCCAGTATTTAATACCACGATTGAAAAAAATTGTGGCTTCCCAATCTAATTCTGCTAATATGCTATATCAACGCATCAGTTCTAGTTTCACTAAAATCCACGCTGAGGTTGTAATGCTAGTGGTACAATTCAGCTTACCAATCCAATTTAACGTGGCAAAATTTATATCGTCAAATCAAATTTTGTTAATATTAAATTGTTAATATTAAATCGTGATTAATTCATCTAAATCAAAAATCAGAATAAGAATATAATTAAAATTCGAAATTACATTCCACTTCATTGTTTTATTTTTCTTTTTATAAATTATCACCTGCCAGAAGAATTTTAATTAAAAATTAACAGAAATTCAATCCTTGAAACTATAAAATAATTATAGAATATACAATTGTATTATATTTAAACGAATGAAGCTAATGCAGTTTCATTAAAATAATTAAGAACTCATTAATATTGAACAGTTACTCGTATTTTCTTTCGAAGTTCCAATATATAATAAATAGAAGCAAAGTGGAATTGTTTTTACTTGTACACATCAAATTGAATGGTCGAATCATAAATTTTACAGTATTACTATAGTTTTTACTATTTCTTCAATATTACTTCGATATTTACTCAATTTAGTTCAAAAAAGAATCAATGAGAAACCCAAACAATAAAATTCATATTTTCTATTCTTGCGGTTTTTATAAAATTTTGTCGAAAATTTGCCATTCTTTGATGAAAATTGCGTCCACCACTCGCCATGAACATATGATAGATACAATGGTTGCAGCAAATGATATTTTTCTCTTATATCATAGGGAACTTTTATTGCACAATAAGCAGTTATATAGGAAAAAAATTCCTCATTTGCAGAAGTCGGAACCGAGTGAAATGGTTGCATACTGACAAATTCAGTGAATAGTCTCGTAATTATTTCAGCAGTTGCTCTGAATATTTTAAGTCTGAATCATGGAGATAGGATTGAAATTAAATTTTGATTTTTCTTCATCAATTGGAAACTTATTTTATCAATTTATTTTTATTTTTAAGTACATGAAGAAACGCAAGCACTTTATGAATAACAGAATATTCCAGCGGAATCAACCGAGGAAAGTTATTTAGACGAATTATTAGATTTGTTTGCAATAATTATGACTATGGCAAATATATTTTTGACTTGAATAAGAGAAATCAAGTAGGTTGGAAGTATTAAAGCTAATCTGCAACACCAAGTTAAGAATGTAGAACCTTACTTGTTTATTGAATTGATCACTAGAATAAATTACCTAACGATGTGTTTTGCGCCTCTACAAAATGGCGAAAAGAAATCAATGAACTCAGTTAACCGGTAATTAACCTCTTTTTCAGTTAACCTCTTTTACAACAAAAAATTTTTATTAAATTAATTATCAAGGGAAAGATGCTTGTTTCTTCGTTCGACTAAGCTCATTTCTGTGTAGCGGCACGAATAAGATTATCATTATCATTAATAATTTCCTATAGTAGTGGCGACTCGCGCATACACCCTTACTTTTTGTGAAACACTCTTCATTTCACAAAAAATTTAAACTTTACAACTGCTGTATTAGAGAATTAATCTCGCTGATCATTGGTTGCTAAAGGATTTTTTTAAAGAGTGAGTCCTCACCACTATTGGTTAAACTCGCTCACTGGCTTGTCGAATTGTGCAATATCCCAGGGAGTCCCTTGGCGATAGAATTAGTCGCCAGCATCACCCAATTGCTAAAGGATTATTTATGTATGTGTATGATTATTTATGTATATATATATATATATATATATATATATATACATAATCCTCAAAGTGATATTTTTATGATATAATATAATAATAAATGATATAATATATATAATATATATAGTAATATATATTCATATATATAGTAAAGTTAGTATATATATATATATATATTATATTATCTAAAATTACTATATATATTACCAAAAATTATGAGCTTCGTTTAATTATTGTTTTTTACTTTATTCAAAGCCCTAATAAATGTTTAGCATAAAATATCATATATTATTTATGGAAGATTTTGCTAATGGAATGCTATAGTAGAAAGCTATATAGAAAAGGATTTTAAAATAAAGAACAAGATTTTATCTTTTAAGGATCTTACAATAGCCATAATAAATGTTTTATGTTAAACTGAAAATGTAATCACGAAAAACAGAAATTCACTGGAAGTTACAAATGAGCTATTTGCTATTAAAATTTGAAAGATTAACGAGTGTAAAACGAGTCTGAAACTTAGGGAAGGGTTAAATTAAATTAAGCTTTTGATTAACCTCATGCTTGGATCATAAATTGTATACATAGACTCATGCTGAGGAGTCGGATTTAGGCTTCAATTTAAACTCCTGTAGCATGAGCAGGAAATCTGTTAGCATCTTCTCAGATGAATCTGATATCCATAATTTGGATTAACAATATTGAAACAGATATATACTAATTTTAATTTATTCATAACTGAAGGAGTATAATTTCTCTTTTTTTAAATTTTTCCACTTGGTAGCTGAAGGAAACTTTAATAGTTGATTTGATTAATTTTATTTTATTTTTGATGCAAAAAAATCTTTTTTTAACTGAAATTTCATTAAATTTTCAGCAGGTCTTATGAAATATTAGTTAATTCCATTATGCAATATTCATATATATAGTAAATCTAAAATTAATATATATATATATATATATATATATATATATACTAAATCTTATTTATAATATCGCAATAAATTAAGAATATTTTATTAAATTCATTTTATATAATTTAAAAGCAATAAAACATAAAGCATTAGTATCGATGGATTAAAAAATTATTCACCAAAAACCTAAATAAAAAATTTTTATTAAAAGAATTTTATTCAATTCTTCAACCGTTCAAAACAAATAATTGCTTTTCCCTTTTGGCAAAACATTTTAAAAAGTTCACCAAAAAACAGCAAAAAAACTCTTCAAGAATTTAAAAAAGGAAATCGATAATAATAATTGCAAGTAATAATACAATATTTACAAAAAAAACGGATTAATTAAAAAGAAATTTTGGAAAAATCATTGAATAAATACAATGGCCTTCTAAAAAATTTATTTTCACTGAATTTCGTGGCTTTTTTAAAATTTTTTAAAACTTACAATGATTTATCGCTAAACTGTTGGAGAAAAATTGATAAAATACCTTAATTTGTTCGTCTGTGCGATTATGCACGAATCACAATTATTCAATAAATAGCAACAAAAACAATAAATAATGAAAGGATTTTCCATAGAGATATGGCATCAATTGCATAAATTAAAAAAAAATTCATCAAATTTCATTTTTCTGTGTTCGGTCGGACGAAGTTGAAGGGCTATGTGTAAGACGAAGCATTTGAAGTTGTCGTATTGCTGATGTCGCGTTGAATGCTTTCTTCCATTTGCGTTTTATAAGGCTTTGTTGTAATTGAGGTGCCACTAAACAATGAATATTTTTCGTACTTGCTGTATTACCACTTATCCTGCAAAAATTAAGCAAATCACAAAATCTTATGGAGAAAACGAATGAAAATTTAACTCTGCAAAAAAAGTACGGGTAAGGAAATATTCATATATTAATTATTATCATGAAACTCACCACGGATGTTCGAGAGCTTGTTCACAAGTGTATCGTTTTTCTGGATCACAGCACATTAAATGTGAGATGAAATCTTTCGCTGATTCAGAAATTTCATCCCAATATGGTGAATCAAATTCATATTCCCCGCGAATGATTTGAGCAAATAAATTTGCATCATTGTCATCATAAAATGGTGGATACCCGCATAGTAATATATAAGTTATTACACCAATTGACCATATATCTACCGCTTTACCATATGGTTTTTGTTGTAATACATGAAAAGTTTATTTTTTTATTTGACTTTTAATGATGATCACAGTTAATGAATGGCTCAGTAAACAGAGGAAATAATGTTAAGAAAAGCCAGTGCAGTATCATAGAAATTCCATTAAACTTTTAATCTCAATGCAACTTTAAATTTTTTTATAATTTTCCAACTGAATTTTCAAAAGTATAATTTTAAAATTAATTTAAAATGGAAAAAATGGAAATATTGCTATAAAATCAACGGGAGAAAGCAGCAGAGTTACCTCAGGTGCAACATAACCAGGCGTTCCGCATGCAGTTTCCATCGTACCAGAATCTTCGGTTTTTGAAAGACCAAAATCGGAAATCATTATTTTGGAATCTTCTTCTTTATTATAATATAACAAATTTTCCGGTTTTAAATCTCTTAAATATATTTATTTTTTAAAAATATTTTCTGTTTAATTCGAACACTTTATGAGATAAGCGATATTACATATTTTATTGATAATATCCGCTATTTTTCATGTTTTAATTTATTCGTTCGGTATTTAGAAATGAAATGAAAATTTTAATATGGATTGAACTATATTTTGTTTTTTTTAGAATTTATATCCATGAAAAATCGAAAAAATCGAAAATTAAAGTTGACAACCTGTGAACGACGCCGTTTTTATGCATGAAAGCAACTGCCTCAAGCACTTGTCTCATTAACACTGACGCATCGCGTTCAGTAAAGGATCCCTGAAGATATTCCTTATTTGCTTTTGCATATAAAATATAATTTTAAATATTGGGCTGAATAGCGGAATATTGAATGCCGCATATTAAATGCTCATTTCCATCGTTATTTGTCATTCATATTTAGTGCTATTAATCGCATTTGAAAATTATTTGAAATATCATTTCGAGATGAGTATCTTCACATATGAAATAAAAATTCCAAAAAGCGATAAGCCAAAGGACATTTTATGCGAGAAAAGAAGCACTTCAAGGTTTATCCACTAAATGGAATGAGTGTTTGAAGAAATTTTTAAAGAAATCCTAGAAATTGATGAAAACTCTCAATTCGCCTTAAGATTAGCCTAGCACGATCACAATGAGTTTAAATAAAAAAATCCCACGGTAAATCAATAAGCATGTTGATGAATTATTTTATTACCAAATTTTATTTATTTTTTTATTTTATAAAAATTATATTCCTTTGGGAGTAAAAAAAATTATTGTTTTCAAATTAAAATTATTATTTTATTATATTAAAAATTATTAAATTATTATTTATTAATTATTATTTTAAAATTATTATTTATTATTAAAAATTATTTTAAAATTATTATTATTAAAAATTATCATCTTATTATTATCTAAAAATTATTTTTAAAAAAATTATTGAGCAAATTATTCATTTTTATATTTAAATTTTATTCGATAACCTTAGAAACAATTCGATCAAATAATTCACCACCGGTAACTAATTCCATAACCAAATAAACACAGTGTTTCTCATCGTAAGTATCGTATAACTGTACGATATTAGGATGCCGCAATCTTTAAATAAATAATCTAAAAATTTCTAAAATATTTCGATCTTCTAAATTATCACTGAAAAATTTTTAGTTTATCACCGAAATGATAAGATAACATTCATTTATTCATTTTCTTTGGATGTCAAATAGTAAAATTGCATAAGATTGCGTAAAATTTGAACGAATATTTATGAAATTATTAGGTTGAGGGTAAATCATTCGCTGAATTCATTGATTAAATGAATAGATGTTTTTCTCCAATTTTTTAAATAATAATAAATAAATAATAAACAAATGAGATTAAAACACAATTATAAAGAATATATAATCATTTAACTAAAAAAACTAAAACTAAAAAATTTATCGAATATTACTGTAAAGATTTTTTCTTCATTTTTCATTATTATTTTTATATTATTTATTGTTATTTGAATAAAGTCCCATAATAAAGAATTGATTAATCCAAAAAATTGAATAAACAGAGATTAAGCAAATTCAAATTATTATTCATTCGCATAATTATTATAGAAAATATCAAAATATTTTTCAATTCTTAAAAAAAGAATTTATTTTTTAATGTAAACTATATTATATTTTAATTTCAGCGAAAATATAATATATTGTTAAAAATTGTAAATAAATATAAATAAAAATCACTTTCGAAGTACTCGAATTTCGTTTTCTAATGATTCTTCTTTTCCCTTGAGCGCTTTTTTATCAACGCATTTGATGGCAACTAAAAGTCCTTCTTCTGAATTCGATTCTGCCAAAAATACCTGTGAGAAAAATTTATAAGTTTATTTTTATTAATCAAAAGCTTAAAAACTACAGTAAAATTTATTTTTCAAATAATTTTATATATAATATTGAATTAAAATATTAAAATTTGTATGATTAAATTTCAAAAAATTGACGATACTTTTTAATTCAACTTTTAAATAAACTTCGGTCATTTAATGAAGGAATAATCAAATTTTATTTATTTATTTAATAAAAATTTATTTATTTTGGCGCATTTTAAATTTATTTGCGTAAATTTATTCATACAAAAATTATTAGAATTAAAAAGAAAAAAAAAACAAAAGTGCAAATATTTCGGAAAATGGTGATTTAAAATTTTTCTCCATTACATAAATTAAATATTAAATTACATATTAAATTTATTTTTTATAGCGATATTGTATCGATATTGATGCTGCAACTAAATTCTTTTTTTTGATGTAATTTTCGCACAATTTCGTAAAACAATTTCCTTTTTTTTCCAATAATACTTCTCAATATTTCTAAATTTAGTTACGAATTATGGATTTAATTGATTTTTAATATAAATAGTGGTATTTTCGATAAGTTCGATATTTAACAATAGTGAATTTCCAAATGAAATCTTCCAATTACGCCATTCATATATGTAAGGATTTAAATTTTGGCATTTGTTAGTGAATATTTTATAAAATTTGTCAATACCAATAAAATAATTAATTAAATATAATATTAATTATATTCTCTTAAGGAATGAGAAAGAGAATGAATAATGAATAAGAGAATGAATAATAAATATTTAGCATTAATTTTAAAGCTTTGGAATATAGCAAAATAAAAAAAACCGTCTCGTATAACTTATCGCATTCGTTATTATCCTATCGCTGGACGTTATTTCTCATCCATATTTATCACTTAACTCGTTTTATTATTTAATTGCTCATTATTTAAGTAACTTATCTTATAATTCCATATGTATTAAATACTTGGAAATAACTTTAAAAAGCATTTTTTTCGCTTTTATGAATTAATATCCTTGAAAGAAGAGATTTTAAACTTCAATTTAGGAGATCTAAGAGATTTAAATCTAAGAGATTTTTAAAAAATACATATTTTTGAAAAATACATATACGTATTTTCACAATTTTATTTTCAATAATTTCCATCATATTTATTTAATTTCTCATATTTCGTAAATATTTCGATGTTTTTGAATAGTTCATAATGTAAATAATTAAGTATACACTTCTCAAGAATTCATTCCTTTTCTTTTGACGTTTTGAATTTTGCAAATTTTTTTGGTGTTGAAATGCCGAACACCGAAATTATTTCAGACATTTTCAAATTTTCGCCTTATTGAGATTTTCTTCCCCTTCTGTGCTTTCAATTATACAATAATTCTTTGTTCAAACAATTTCTTATCATTTTTGCAAATTATTCAAATATTTAAATTTTCAAATATTATTTCAGATATTTCAATATTATTTATTCAAATATTTTATATAATAAAATATCAAATATTTCTTTACAATTTGTTGAAAATGTGGAATAAAAATTTTTTAAAAAAATAAAAAACATTTTATTAATTTGACTTTGTCGATATGATTGCTTTTTATTACAATAGTTAGACAATAAAATATCAATCAAATTCATTCGAATAAAGAAAATTCAGCTGATTCAAATATAAAATGTAATGAAAACATATTAAATTATAATAAACTAAAGAAGACGGAGGAGAATTTTTGCATCGAACTGAGAAATCACCGCTTAATGTGCAAAAAAATTTCAGATTAAATAGTTTTAAAATATGTGCTATGATCAAATAAAAAGCTTTTATTAAGCTTTAATTAAAGTCCTTATTATTCAGTTCTGAAAGCAAAACAAATTCTCCATGTTTACGTGTCATAATGGCTGTAAATTTTCAACGCAATCCACTTAATAAGCCTAATGCAAGCAAGTGGAGAGCCTTATTTGAAAGTAAACATGAGAAGAATCTTATAAAACCTATGAAGTCGTCATTAAAACTGGAACGAGTAGAAGGTTGCCTGCACTTCTAATCCTACTTAGTATTCGAATGACCAGCGCAACTATTCAACTAAAACAAAAATGGTCTGCGCTGATAAAGAAAGATAGAGATATCTAATTTGGAAAGTTTGCAATTTTGATGAACCAACAGCAGCAGAGTCCTATTTTGTTGATTAAACTTGAATAAAATAATAGCGCAAATTATAGAAACTCATTGAATTACCATCTACTTTCTATTACGAATTTACCATTTTAAACTATTAGCCATTTTAAATTAAACCACATAAATAGACCACATTACAAAAGAAATTTAAAATCATTTATATGAAGATAATTGAGCGATTTTCAGCCGAGCATTTGTGATAAATATCTTTGCTTGTTCGACATTATGAATTATTATTATGAATTATTGGTAAAAAAAATATTAAAATAGCAACAATAATAATGAAAGTTATGATAATGAACAGTAATAGAAATAAAATAACCTTAGAGAAAGCGCCAGTGCCAAGAATATCTTTAAAATGATAATTTTGCTGAATATCACGTCGACCGGAAGTAATATCTTTACTTGCTCGATCTTTTTTAAAAAGCGGCATTGCTAATCCGCTTTCGGCATTACAATTCTAAGAATTAAATAGCCTTTCGCCGCTAAAATACCGGAGACTTTTTTGCCAATACTTTGGATTTATTCGATAAGTATTGGGTGGGTAGGTTGTGCTTAAGCATTTAGGATCTTGTGCAATATGTATATGTGTGTGTCTATCTGATGTCTCTACGTTCTTACTTGTTATCAGCGAAAAGCTCATATTGATTCATTTTCAAAAGCATTTGAATATATGTGCATTATAACTTCAGGATAATAATTTTATGAAGTAAATAGGGTAAATGAAATGGGAAAAATGACTGAAGGATTCCTTCCTCTTATTTCCTACTGCATTCTATTATACTGCTAATGCTGCTGCTATGATGATAATGATGATGTTGATGATGAACATGACGACGATGATAATGACGATGGTGACCGTCGTGATGATGAAAAGAAGAATACCAACCAACCAGTTTTGGTTTATTAAACTAGTTGAACAAATAATAAATTGAATTTGAAAGAATTGCAAGGACGCAATAGTGTGACGATCTCTTTTCACACATTTTATGCAATATTTTGGCGTTTGTTTTGAATGATAAAAAAACCATAATAAATGAATGAATAAAAAAAATAATTAATCGTTCTTTATTAAGCCAGTGTGTTAATAATAAGCACCCGGGGCGATTTAAATGAATCAAATTGTACATATAGAATGCAGAATTATCTGCGTGTACCATCTTCAAAGAATACACCACCATCAAGCGCGCAATATTTCGGGCAGATACCTCTTTCTCCTTGTGGACCTGGATGACCAGGTGGTCCCGGTTCTCCATTTTCCCCACTATTTCCTGCTGGACCAGGTGGCCCTGGTGGACCGTTGGGCCCTGGGCTTCCTGGCTGCCCATCTCGTCCTGGACTTCCATCTGGCCCAGGTAATCCAGGTGGTCCTAAATTAATGTTAGAAATGTTTCGAAGTAAAGTCGGTTTATTTTTGCATCGATTTTTAAAAAATTCTTAGCTGATTTGCTATAAATCAGAATGCTTACCAGGTTCTCCTTGTTGTCCAGGATCTCCAGGGATGCTTGGCGAACTAGGTGCTGGTCTTCCTGGTTCTCCTCGTTCCCCATCATTTCCTGGCTGGCCTGGCTGGCCAGGCGGGCCAACTGGGCCTGGTTGTCCAGGGCGACCTTAAATCCACAAATTCATTTCTTCCTGGATTTATTAACTGTTATTTTTTCATTGACTTGGTAACTGATTCACTGAGATGATCGTCAGCTTAAAATTTTCGGAAAAATTCACAAATTCCATTTAAGATGCTACATGCTTAATTGCTACCATAGATCATAAAATGCTGATAATTAACTGACCGTTATTTCCCGGCCTGCCTGGAGGTCCCGGTCTGCCTGAATTGCCTGGAATGCCATTAGGTCCTGGTGGTCCTGGCTGACCTGGAGGACATGGATTGCATGGAGGTATTTCGGGTTCCTCACATACCACTGGTGGCCGTCCAGGTGCTCCTTAATATTTTGAATAATTTTAGCATTTTAATATTCTAATATTTTCAGTAATTCTGAAGGGTTAGAATTTGAAATAATTTAGTATCGACAATATTTACGTGCAAATTATTTTATAAGCAATTATATATATATTGGATGGCAGTTTTATTCCGAGGGGAGGGAGTCGAACCTGTGATACTCGAAGCGAGATATATGACATATATATATATAATTAGAATATTTACCCAAAAACCAAAATAATACCTGGTTGCCCAGGCGGTCCTGGCGTTCCTGGCTTACCATTGGAACCTGGCGGTCCTGGTCGTCCAGGATGCCCTGGTATGCAACAGTCTGTAAAATAATATAATCAATAAAATTGAAAATAATTTATTAATAATTAACAAATAAAATTTTTGAAATTTTTGTATTCTTACGCTCTTACGCAATAAGAAAGAACAATAAAGATTTTAGAATTATAATCATTTGAATGTTATTCCTATTTCGTCAAAAAAAAATTTATAACTCTATTCGTAAATGGCAATTAATTTTAATGATAACAATAATAGGATATCAAAATATACTATCACACGATCCAACTTGACGGCGGGTCCTATTCAAAGCGCTAGCGGCAATAGATACCGGTTGCTTTTTGGTAACTTCTGACATAATATCTCTTGCTGATGACTAAAAAATTTACTATATTCTTTATAAGAAAGAGCTCATGAGCCCTCTTAATGATAAATTTGTCAAATTAAACCAAAACTGAATTGTGTTTTCCGAGCGGAAACTTACGAAATAATCTGTTTTTTACCGAGCGGAAACATAAATTAAATTTCCTGTTTTTTACCAGTAGTTTAAGATGTCAAAATGTCAAAACAATAAACAATACGTCTAAATTTTAATTATTGGTTCGTCGATGAAAGCAAAAATTCGAGAATATTCATTTAAAAATTTGCTATTTTATCATTTTATTTTAAAGCAATATTTTATTAAACATAATATTTAGCACTGTTTATTTTACATATTTTACATGGCGACGATACGTTTATTAATTATCTCAAAAAATCGAAGTAACCACAATTAAAGCTGAAATATAAACATTTTAGAGAAATATCACAAATTATCGGGAAAAAGAAAAAAATAAAAATTACTTTACAAAATTGGAGATCTTTTTTGGTTTGCTGCTGTACATGGTCAACAAAATTGTAAACTATCGGCATAGTAATGCATACGGATAAAATAGATATTAAAGAGAAAGTAACAGCCGAATAGGCAACAGCCTTATATGCACGCTCTCTATTTTCTTCCATTCTTCGCCGAAATCGACAGGAATTTTGCGCCTTTTATACCCCAAAGCAACACTGGTTCGCGGTCGCCGTCGTGGAACGTAAATACATAAAAAAAATTTGTCGCTTATTCTTCTACACCATTTAGTGTTACCTCAGTGAAAGCTTTATTGTTGTTTTTAAGTTTTTTTATTAGTAATATATCATTTTTGCTCCTCTCAGATGCATTTAAAAAAAGGATTAGTTAAGGCACTTTTTTGGAGGGACTTGAATAACTTTTTTTTAGCAAATAATGTGGATTTTTCAAAATTTATTGGTATTACTTACTTCTTTACCTTAAAAAAATAAAAATTGGAAGTCGCTTAAACATCCCTATAGATTTCCTATATTGAAGATTACTGGTGTTTACACTTTTTCAATTTCCTAGTAAAAATTTCCAAAATTCGTTAATGTTGATGTTTCTATCGCCAAGTGGCTCTCTGGTAAAATTTGTCTACTTCGATAAACCAGCAGAGCAAACTTAACCTGAAATGATGAGCGCTCTTAGAAAATTTATCGCAGAAAATTTTCACAATTATAAAGAATCATTCTTTAAAAAATTATAAATATATTGTTTAATTTGAATCTTTCTCATAAACTAATCGTCTGAAAAATTTATTTGTATGAAAAAAACATCAATTTTCTCAAGATTCGTAAAAAAATAAATATTTTCTAAAAATTCTTTTTTTCGCTTGTTAAATTAATTTAAAATAAATTTTGGACATTGGAAAATTTAAATCAAATAAACATTTAATATCTTTAAAATATAAAAAAACAGAAATAAATAAAGAAAAATTTATTTTCAAAACGCTATTTTGAAATACACTTTTGAAAAATTCGAAACGCTTATTTTATTTCGATTACTATTTAAAAATAATTTTCATCTTTTTCTGTTTTAAAAAGATTTTTTAGTGATGAAATGATTTTCTTTTACTTTTTGTTTTTTTTCGTTTATTAAATCAATTTCATTTTAAAATAAATTCGAAATTTTTAAAAATTAGTGAAAATGAAAACTTAAGAGATAAATCATTTATTGACAATAGCCTTTTTTTCATAAATGACTTTTAAAAATAAAAGAATTGAAAAGCAGTTTTGAAAAATTTTTTTTGCTCTTTTTTTTAGTTATTTGATCTGTAAATGTTTGCTAAAATGGATAATGATTATGAGAACTAAAATCTTTGTTTCTGCTGAGCATACAGTCAAGATGAAAATTCGAAGATAAAAATTTTTTTAGTAGAAAAAAGAATGGATGAAAAAATAAGAATAGAATATTTTCTAATTTTAGTTATCTTCCACAAAACGCTTTTTTTCAAAAACTTGCAACTTTTTTGTTAAAATTTTAGACAATTTTTTAAAAATTCTATTTTTAAAAATTTGAACTAACCGATTAATTTAAATCTACTAAATAATAAATGATTGATCGTAACTCATCAGCGAATATGCGATGATTGATATCGTTGATAATTTAATTTCATTTCAACTTTTTAGAAAACTTTTTCTTTTATGTTTCACGGTACCAGGTTCGTCCAGCTTTATTCTTCAAATTGTTGCAATTTTTTGAATTAATGAAAAAGATGAAACATATTAAGGTTTCAATATTGCAAAATAATTCAATATTGCGTGTATAACTTGAAATGTATATAATACTTATGAACAATTATTGCCAAATGTTCCGATTGCCTTCAATCAGGCAGGGCAATGCTTTTATAAAAACACTTCTATAAGTGATAATATAGCTGAGTGAATAGCGATTTATCCTCGTTCTAGAGGCAATTTTCGGATCCTACCTTTGATGCTTGCCGTTATTTTGGGTTGTGGTGTTTGCGACCCACTCGTACTTCTGTTAGCAGGTGAGATTTGTTGACAGAAAATTTCAAACTGTATTAATAGTCAATGAAGCTAGCTTAACCAAAAATGATGAGAATTCTTACTTATTCTATTAATATGAGAATATAATTATATTTTTTGTTTTTATTACATTACATTATAATTATATTTTTATATAAATCGTTTTTTTTAAAATCAAATTTTATAGTCATTTTATCATAAAATTTTTTTAAACATCCGATTTAGCAAACTTGATTGTATAAAAGAAATATCGAATATCACTCTGATGGAAATGTATTTATGCAGTTTTACATAATTTTTGGATCTACTGGCAAGATAAATTCTATAAATTAAGCTTTATAAATTCTATCATGTTTAATATAAAAATATTATCAAAAATTCATAAAATATTATTATAAAATTCATAATTTTTACGTGAAAATTAAAGATTAATTATTAATGATGACTAATGATTTATTATCATAAAAAAATAATATTTAAGTAATAATATTAAATAATATTTATTTAATATTATTTATAATAATATTATTTAAGCAAAATAATACTGTTTCGTTTACTATTTTACAAAAAAATATCAGCTATCAAAACATGAAAAAATAGGAAAATTTTTTGAAAAATAATTACACAAATAAAAAAAATTATTAGTTTTTTTTCTAATCATATTTGACAAAAAAATTTTAATTAAACAAAGAACAATAATAAATTGCAGCAATTTTTACAGCGATTATTGCTTTACTCTTGCATCTTTTTTTATTTTTATTGTGTGGTGAAAAATTTTTGGCGAAAACGAGTATAAAAAAATTTTGCAAAAATCTAGTTTATTTTTAAGTAAAATTCGGATTAATTTACTTAGAACGATTTTTCGAAAAATTTCAACAATCATCTTTGGCTCGTTCTTTTCTTTTTTTTTGAATTAACCGTGAATCAAAGCATTATTTTTTTATTAAAATTGCATATAGAATTATAAAAAAAAGGAAAAACTTCATTTTAGAATAATAACGGGTTAATTATCGCAATATGGCGCTTGAAGATCAATTAGTTTGGTTTAAATGGAATGCAGTGCTCTAACAATAGTAAAGGAAGAAGTACATTTCGAGTCGTTGTGTATAACTATAACTATTTATAAAATCAACCAATTTTGGTGTGAAACCACTAACAGAATTTTAATGAAGAAGTCGTCGAACCGAACTTCTCCTTCTAACCATATTTCCGGTTTGGTTGACAGCACTGGAAAGTAAGAGAGAAAATATTAGAAGTATTATCTCTTTATCAGATTTGGAGATAGAACTACAAGTAAATCCCACCGACATCGCCAGGAAAAATGTATCGAACCAGTGGTAACTTTACCTTGGCTGAAGCAATTTGCCATTTAATCATTTTTTGATGGAATAAAGCAAACACAAATCACTGTATTGCTTTTATCGAATCTGAAAAAAGTTCAGCTGTCGGATTTTCAGCAGTCATAGCTCTTCAGTATAGTTGTGCATTAATGCATTGCTTGGAAATGCAAGTATTGCAAATAATTTAGCAACATGTTCGGCAGGTAGGAAATCGAAAAAATTTTCTATGCAGTCACAATAAAATTGTTGTGTAACAAACATTTTCATTATTAAAAATTTTCTTCGTTTGTACTTATTGCTTGATACTCAATCAAAAATTATAAAAAATTCTGAAAATACTTTATTTTGTTTTTATTTTTAAGAAGTTCCTTCAAATTCGACGAATTATATTTCTATAATTAAATTACCTTGATAAATAAACATTATTTTAATATTGTTCTGGTACGTAGTTGCATTTTACAAAGGAGGAAATTTCTACCTATTTCATCCGGGAATTGATTATCCTTTTTATATTATATAACTTTTTAAAGGGCGTTTATGACATCTCCTCAGCCATCAGCAAAGAACAAAGCGGTATGTAAGGCATAAAATGGATTTCGGCAAATTGAAAAATTCCATTAAATTACGCAATAACCAACACTTCCTTTGCTTATTTAATAATTTGCTACATTGCTACTGTGAATGCACAAGTATTTAATCTTAAACTTTTCGCATTTATTCCGATAAAAAACTTGTCCACCTTAATTTTAAAATGAAGAAATGAAGAAGTTCATTGCATTTGATCACAATTTTCTTATCAAATTTTCTTATTCGATTATCATATCATACAATAAGAAAATGGAAAGGCAATAAGGGTAAATTTCTCGAGAGAAATTTTTTTTCCTCTTTATAAAATTATTTGCAAAATTTTCTAAAATATTCGCTTACCAATAACTTAAAAAAAAGTTTTCCACAATAAATTATTGATTTTAAATTAGGAATAACTGGAAGAGAAGAAAGAAAATGGTTCAGCATTTGATGTCCAGGCGGACCGATTTCCCACAAATCCACAATTTTACCAATTTGTTTATCTTAATGAATCAGAGAAGGAAATAGAAAATGGAAAAAAACACAAATGTTTTCAAAAACCATCTATCTTTCTAGTCATTAAAAATTTTTTTGGATCACTTTGATCTTAATTTGATTTGTATTCGTCGAAACAATCAGTATTGACGTCTCAACATTTTGCAACGATCTCATGCGAAATATCACTTAATTCTAAGGGAACTGCTGACAGATGTAATGAAGACGATGTTGCTTCGGCTGAATTCAGGCATTATGAATTCCTTTCTCATCACTACAGTAAACTTATTATTAAAAGTGGAACTCGACTGGCTGGTTGATTGACTGTCTGACAGACTGACTGCTGCGTTTTTATTTCCAATTCTACCACTAAAATATCTTGGAGAAAATCATTTCATTCCTCGAATTACAACATAAACCTTGTTTTTCATGTTAAATTATTGTTGCAAAATCGATTAATGATGAACTCGTTTTTTTCACTGTGTTCCATGTGATATATACAAATTGTTTCTTATAGCAAATATATAATTGTTTCTCTAATTTTTCTAATTCTAAGAAACAATTGACAGTTTGTAAAAGGAAGAATCTGTCTCTCACAATGCTGAAAAAGTTGCCAAAATAATTATGCAACTATTGTCGATTATGAAATTCATTAATTATAAAGTGAAAGATAACTCAACGAAAATTTCATCGTTATTCTTTTTAAAAATTGAAGTGATAATATTGAATATCTGTAAATTTGTTGACTTATCAATTTACCTTAATATAATGTATGAAATAATCGAAATATTACATGCAATAAACGTGCTTTTCGAATTCGTTGGTTCGCGCTTTGCTTCGCGATCGCTCGTAAACGTTTTTCCAGAAAATCGCTCATGGAGGCAGAATTTTAAAACGTGGGAACTTTCTTGCGAAGCAAATTTGAAATTTAAGTAGAATTAGTGTCATTTGTCTTTATGAATTTATCTGATAAAATTCTTGCAAAAAGTATTTTATTTTTTATGCGTTTCAAAACGTTTTTTAGGTTTCTTCAAAGATATTTAGTTTAAAGCTGTAAAACAAATGAATAAAGCTTTCAATAAAATTATATATAATTACAATTATAAATTATAGAAATTATAGAAATTTATTTAAATTAATTATGAGCGACCTTCTTCATCGAATTTTCATCAATGTTGTCACTTCAATTTTAAAAAATTTGAAATATTTCTCGCGTAATTTAAATATTTAATTTAATTATGATAAAAATTTTAAATACGATTAAAATTTCTGAAATATTTGAATTAGAACGAGAATTTATTTTGTTTAAATTTTCTATGAGGATAATTATTAAATTTCAATAAAAATTTATTATTTCACCTGCAAAACTTGTTTTGTTTGATTTTACTAGTAAATAATTTCTCTTCGTTTTCGTTCACTTCGTGCTTAGAAGCAATCCACTTTGTCGAGATAACTGATATTTAAATAATTTCCGCGATAAGTAACGATTTTAGTCAGTTGTTTTTTAGATAGATTAACGAATTTCGAATTTCAAAGTGATTTTGGTGGCATCAGTTATGAATCGAGAAACAGTCTTTCATCATTAAGCACTACAAAAAATACGAAACTTTGGAAAAAATATGAAAAATTGTTTAATTTATTTAATTTAGAAATATTTTTTTCATTGCACCTTAAATTATTATTCTTGTAACTTATCGTTTTTCTCATAAACTTTGCTTCTTCAAAAATTCTCACTGAATAAAAAACATCCAAAAACCGTGAATCATGTGTTATCATGCGTTTCATGCGTTTCATTCCTGTGGCCTCCGTAGAAAAGCGTATTTCAGCGGTCGCTTCTGTCGAAACGCTTCTATTATTTCGCCATCGAATCTAAACTGCATTTATCTCGTCCAACACGCTTTGAACTTTATTAATTTCACTTTTTGAAATAAATTTCCTAACAAATCAACTTTTGAAGAGTAAAATCAAATCTAATAGTCATAAAAGTGGATGGAACTTCCCAGCAGCGTTGGAAGTAAACAATCCACACCGATGATGCTCGTCAAACTTTTCCCGAAACGACGCAGCGAAAACCTATTGACCCTCAGGGCGAAACTTTCATGTTTTGAGCCTTTAATTCCTACTAAAAGAGAAATGTCATAAACATATTATAAAGCAAGCGTCAGCCTCAACATTCAAACAAAGCAGGTTCCAGGCACTACGAGGAGAGCCATCATGGATTGCATGGAGCCAGTTTGATTACCGCTGATCGAGAACGACCGCTGTCGTTTGTTTCGCTGAAAAGACACGCCCTTCTGCTTTAGATCTGCCGTTAAGCTCTTAAAGAATTCAAAATATTTCCGGCCGCTTTTTTAATGTTTTTAATTTTTTAATGCCGTCGATGTCACTCTTTTTTAATTATTTCCCATAATTCTCATTTTTCGTTCTTTTCGTTCATTCATTCATTTTTTAAGTTTATTTTCATTCAAATTCAGTTATCTTTACAGTGATAAGTGATAAGCGCTTATCAAATTCCAAATTCGGTTCATTCCGCTGATTAGTGATAAGTCTTTATTTTCTGAATAATTTACTGAAATAATAGGGGAAAAAAAGGAAGTAGGGGATTTTTGGATTTCGGAAATATCAACATTTTAAAACCTTTTTAATCAAGGAAATCTTTTTTTCATATTTATTAATTATACAATTTATATAAATACATGACAAAGGCAATTTTTGTTTTACTCAATAGTTATTAAGTTTTTCTCCTTTTTATTGCGATCTTTTTTCATAAAATTGTTAATGTTCTTTAATTATTTAAATGAATACATTATCTGATTGCAAGGATTTTTCCTCCTAAATTCCATTTCATTTCATTCCACATATATATTCATTCCAGGAATGTCGATCTACGAAGAAAGATCGTAGAAAAATTATGAAATTGAAAAAAGTTGGCCTGTGGGTTGAAGGTTGTGGAATATCGCCAGCACCTTGGGTTAATGGAGATTGGCAAGCCATAATGGATTTATTGTCGCGGTTGCTCGCGGATCATCTTCTTCAGCGGTTTTTTTCTATATGAACTAAAATGCAAATTAATTATTATAAATTAAGTACAAATTAAGTAATTATATATGCAGTATAGAGGAAATGAAATTCTTCTAACCTCAGATTAATTTATTTATCAACACATTTTTTTTTTGTAACAATAATAGTTTTAGCGATTCACTGCTTTCATTTAATTCCTTTTTGTAATTATTTTTGCAGAAAACAGTCGGAAGGATTGGAAGATATCACTTTTAAAATTTCATTCGACGCGGTGAGTTAATTACTTATTAGCCTTTTTTCCTCAAATTTTTCTATTCATTGTGAATATTTTTCGCTGCTCATATTATTTTCGTTGTTTTTCTTATTTTTTCTCATTATTATTATTAAATTATTTTACTTTTCCTCATTATTTTTTCATATTATCTTCAATATTTTTATTTTTTTCTTTCTTTACAGATGATGCAAATGGCTGAAGATGTGCTTGGTATACCTTTATTTATTGTACAAGAAGATTTGCCGTCTTCTTTACCAAACATAAATTTGGCTCTTCTTACGTGTGTAGTATGCATTCGAAATTCCATAGATATTAAACCAGGTAAATTATTTGCCGATTTTCTTTTATTTCGCAATTCATGTATAATTTCTTTTGCTTAAAGCATAAATAACGCGCATTTTCAGTTAATTTTCTTATTTTCAGAGAAAATTAAAAAAATAATTCCACCAAAGTTAGTATTTGAAGCTCGGTGTTCTAGAAATACGAATGTGGAATCTGTATCAAAATGTATAGCTTGTAATCAACATGTATTCATTGTTGAACGTGTTATCATTGGCAAGGTAATAGAGATGAACCAAGAACCCAGTTCAACAACCAATTTTATTAAATCTTTAAAAAAATTAATTTAACTTAATTTAATTTAAGTTGATTTAATCGATTTATTTAATTTTTAATTAACTAATCTAATTAATCAATTAATTTCTTTATTTTTTCTTTAATTTTGTTTCTAGTGGTTATTACCTTAGTTTATGATATTTTACTAAAAATATAAAGAAAATTTGAAAAAATGATAGTTCTACTGTATTTTTCAAATAATATAGAAATTTAGGAACACCTTAATATTTCTGCTTTATTTTAAATGAAAAATTACTTTAAATAATAACGGTAATGTCATCTTAAGTATTGCAGGCAATATATCATCGTAAATGTTTCCGATGCAGTTATTGTAAAAAATTGCTTCATCGTGGTATATTTCGTTTTAAAAATACCTTATTGGAGTGCATTGAACATTGGGCAGATAATTTGCTTTCAAATGAGCGACAGACTTATCATCAACTAAATAGTTCTTATGTGCAAATTAAACCGATACCTCCACCAAAACCTAAAAATTTTTCTCCTCGTCAGGATAATTTACTCTCTATGAATGTAAATCGGGACAGAACTATAAAAGAAGAAAATCTGCAATTGACTGCGATTCTAACGAAATCGCATGGTGATTGTAATTCAAATCAAATAAATGGTAAAGAAATTACTGGCATTGCAACCAGTGGGCCATTTTTGGATTCATCTGAAACTATTCCAAGGTTACAACACGCCGAAAACGGAAGTCTACAAGGAGACAATTATTTCAATAAGCCACTTTCAATTTGTAGTAATGTCAATTGTGAAATAATTCCGGATGATCCTTCTGTTTTACCTGTTAGACCTCCTCGACCAAAACGTGAAAGTATGCTCTTGCAGACTGCACAGTGCGAAATTAACATCGTAAAGAATCATGTAAAAAACCAGGATGTTTCAACAAAGGGGAGTCTTATAAATATCGCCGATTATCCAGGATTTCTGAATCCTTTTGATTCAGATGAAGAAGTTAAATTTTAAAATTAAAAATCTTTTATTTTTTTCTTAGATTTATCCTTTCATTCTCCTGTTTTCATTCTATATTTGATTTAATGACAAAAGATTTCATTTTATTGACTTTTTATTTCTTTAAATTTTATTAAATAAAATTAAATTTTTAATTATTTCCGGTTCTCATTCTTCTTAAAATTCACTTTAATTTCGCTTTTTATATTGATATTTAAATTGATTCGAATATTCATTACTTAATTTTTTGCATGATTTTTCAGTCTGTCGGAAGCAGCGATTCTTATGAAGAAAACTTAAATTTTGATACTCAAGGTGATTTGGATGCTTATAGGTTTTCAAGTGATATGGTTCGAGAATCGCATGATTCATGTAACATGATTCTTTCGATTTGTTCCAAAAGGTTCGATTTTATTTAACTAGAATTTTTTTTTAAAGAGTCCTCACCATTACTGGCTAAACTCGCTCCACTGGCTTGTCGCATTGGGCAATATGCCAGAGACTGCCTTGGCGATAGAAATACAGGTGAGTCGCCAGCATCACTCGGGTTTTTTGTTCAGGTTCACTCCTGCAGAGAATTGAACCCCAGTGAAAAAAGGAATGGCTTCCATTACCGTCAGCGATGGCATCAAATCGCGCAGTCTGGAAATGTTTTAGGCTTGTAGCCAACAGAGCCAACCAAATCATTAAGCTGTTAGAAAAGGGACTTATTTACGATTTCAAAAATATTATGTAATAAAATACTATATTAATAAAATATTATGTGGAAATTTATTAAATATAATCTGTTAAACTTTATTTAACTAGAATTAAAAAAGGATTGTAATTTTGCTAAAAAATTTCTTTTTTGAAATTTTGAAAAGTTTGATTTCTGAAACAGTTTAATTCTCGCCCATTTTATTTTTTGCAGAATTGGCACTCGACTTCTCAGTACTTCTGATCGCCCAAAATCTACACCTCCTCCACCTCCAAAACCTCCACGATTGTGTGCAGATAACAAAGAAAAATTTTTCAATACTTTGCCTCGACCAAAAAAGACTTTTTATGCACCTTTGCCACCAGTACCTGCTCGTCGAAAGGTTTTATTAAAAGTTTTACACTTTTTTTACACTTGATTGTTATAACATCATAACTTAAATTTTGTGTTTAAATAAATGAGTTAAAAATTATATGAAGTGGAACATTTCTCTTCTTTTTCTTCTCACCATTACTGGTTAGGCTGGTTCCAACGGCTATAAGGGTAAGACGCTTCCAAGCGGCGCGGTCTGATGTCATCGTCGACAGTAATGGAAGCCATTCCTTTTTCCATCGTCCATATATTGCTGGTCCACCTATATGTTCAAAATCTTTTCTCATCGTATCAGTCCAGGTCTTGATTGGCCCACCTCGCTTTTGACGCCAATCATCACACGGTTTAGCAAATAACGAAAGCACCTGTGGTAGACGACGGAGATCGCGCCCTAACCAGCGAAGGCGGCGCTCTGTGATAGCATTATTTATGCAAGTGGTATTTGAACGAAGGTGGATGCGATCTTGTGAGATTTTATCCACTCGGCGAACTCGTAAAATATATCTTAGACAAGAGTGGTCAAAGGCAGATAAATTAATATCCTCCACTCTCATTGGCCTTGTCTCAGAACCATATAATAAGATCGAACGGATCACGGCAATGTAGATGCGGACTTTCGTTTTTATGGTGATTTCACGACGATTTCATAAAGGTTTCGTCAATCGGAAAAACGCATTTCTAGCTGCTGTGATCCGAGTTATAATATCATCTTTTGCCTGACCATTTGGTATTAGAGTGGACCCAAGGTATTTGAAATCAGGCACTTCCTCAACCGGCAATGAATTTACAAAAAGAGGCATTTTATCAGCCTCTTGCACATATGACGAAAAGACTTTCGTTTTGTATACATTGAGCCTGAGTCCAGTTCTTACTGCAGTTTCTGATATGTTATTTAGCTTTACTGACATTTTGTTATAACTATCAACAAAAAGGACTATATCATCAGCGTATTCAAGATCTGTGATACGATGCTGTGGACTAATTCGGGCACCTCTTGAATGCCGACAAGCAGAGTCCATTATCCAGTCTATCGCATAGTTGAATATTGTGGGGAAAAGGATGCAGCCCTGACGGGCACCTGTTCTTATTTCGAAGGAATCTGTCAGCTCCCCATGTACACAGACCTGCGCCGACGTGCGCTCATAAAATGCCTTTATGAAACATTACCACTGGAACATTTACCACTTTTCCATCCACTTTTAGATTTCTTTCAACGAAATTGAGTGGGATGAAAGTGAAGTTTCCTTGGATTATTTTTCCGACAAAATGCACAGCTTGGACAGTGAATTGGAAGTTATTGAAGCAAATGGAAAATTTGTCGAAAAAGCACTTCTTTTTGCTGTCGAACAAAGTAAGTATAAAAGTTTATGTGCTCCTGTATAATTTTTGACTTATATAATTTGTATAATTTGGTTAGTTCATTTGCAAAAATTTTGTAAAAAATTATGTAACGAATGAAATATTTTTTATTTATATTTATAAATTTTCAAATATTTATAAGTTCAGATGGCTCTGATTGGGTTACCAATTGTCGAGTTGATGAGTGGATCGATATAATCGAAAAACGATGCACATTAATTCGAAAGCAATCAGCATTCGTTAGAAAGTTCGATATTGAATCATATTTTAAATGGTTTTCATTCGTTTCTTTTTTTTCGGCTCATTTATTAATCGATATTTTAAGTTTCTGCTTGATTAAGCATATTTTTTTATAGATGGATGGAAAAATATTTAAATGAACTTCATGCTGAAGTTGAATATCGATTAAGATGTTCCATTGAACGCACAAAAGGTTATTCTTAATCCGTTCAAATTTATTCAAATTTATTTATGCTAAATCAAGTTTTCTCATTATTTTCTCATTATTTTTAAATTTTTCGCGGAATGCTTGGTCATTAATATATTAAACACTCAGATATTTTGTTTTTTTATTAATTTATTTTTATTTTCTGTCATTTAATTACTATTGAGGAATTTACATCTTTGAACTTTTAGTGCATTAAGTTTTTACAAATAAATATTTGGTACAAAAGTATCTAAAAAAAAATTTCGGGAGAAAATTCGATGTTTTCAAAAAAATGCCAGAGTTTCTTAGACATCTTTTTTTGTCTTATTTTTTGATCCTTTTAAATTATTTTAGAAAAAAATCTTATGGAAGTTGAATATGAAGCCAAACTATTGGAACTTTTAGTTGAAGTAATTGATCGAAAGAATTATCTCATAGAATCGAAATTCGATTCAAGTGCAATTATTGAACCAAAGCGTATTTTTTTAAAGTTCATTTGATTTTTTAAATCAGAAAATTCTGGTGAAAAAAACTTGATTTACCTCAGCATTCGTTAAAAAGTTCGATATTGAATATTGATATTGATATTGTAATACAAAAACTTTGTTAAATGCTTTTCTTATTAATTCTATCAGAATTTAATTGATTTACCATTATTCCGTTTTGCCTGCTTTGAGGCTATTAATTATATTATATTAACTGTCATTATGTTAATTATGTTGCAGTAATGACAAAGATAAAACATGACAAAGAATCTCGTCAAAGAATGAAAAAGCGATTACGTAAACTAAAGAAGCGATTAATATTCACTAAAGAAAGTGGTCGAAAATCAGTCGAATAAATATACATTTTTTTGTGTTTTTCATGTTTATTTGCGAAATTAACACTGATTGTGCAAATAATATATTAGTCATTTTAAACTTTTCGAAAAGTGATTGATTTCTACTGTACGGCTACTGCGAGCTTGAAAAAATTTTTATGTGATAAAAAATTTATTTCCTTGGTTTTTTCGAGATTTTCTTCATATTACATTCCACAGAGTAGTTTAAGAAGTTCGAGCATTTCTTATACCAGATGGTTCGTTTATTAATAACTATTTTTTCAGCTTTTCTTTCGATAATTCGTATTTGTGATATTTTGAGTATTTTCATATACAGAAGTCCTTAATCCATTCGAATTTTTGTTTTTATTTGTAATTTATTACTTTAATTGAAATGTTTCATCGTTCTTTGTCGTTTCAAATGGTAGTGATTTATTTTATAATTATAATTAGAATTTTAATTAAAGATCAATAAATTTAATGTAAAATTTGTTATTCAGTAGAAGGCATTCGAACATTTGAAACATATGTGAAAGATGAGTGTTAGCTCGGTTATGTATGCAGTTTCGAATCATACAACGCATTGTATCCTTAGAACATAAATTTTTTGGATTTGTCGAGGGATCATTTTTGTAGTCTTTTAAAAATGCGTATTGCGGTTTCGGCGCTTGTTATTTATTAAAAGGTGGATAATTCCACAGAAATTTAATATGAGCTCACGCCAGAAAAAACGGTGAAAGGTGATATCAATTATAGATAGGGGTTCAGAGAAAAAAGAAATAACGTTGGGCGTTTTATCCTTTATCCTTTCGTAGATAATTTGATGTTGGTAACCCACTTGGCTTAAGCGATCACCTGTGATTACAGATTGTTTCTGATTTCCTTTTTTGCGAAACGTTTCTTGCAACGTTTTCAATTTCAATTTTCAATTCTTTGAATGTCGAAGCCACCTCGAGTTTTTCGAGCGAGAAGATGGTGCATCTTAAGTGGAAAATGTCGTCCCCTTTGGAATTCGACTCGAACCACTCTGATACAAGAAGTGAGGCAAGAAGCTCACCGATTCCGATAATAATTCTTTTTTGTTTTCAACGGTTTCATTCGAAAAAAAACAAAGTTATATAATATATTAGATATTCTATATTCACTAGAAAAATGCGAAAAATTGTAACTGAACTGAATTAAGTGAATCTAATCAAATTCAAGTTATTGGTCGCTGAGAACAGTTAAATCATTTCGAAGGGCTCTTTGGTCGGAATATTGCTAATTGCATCTCTTAAAGAGTGGATATTTCCCCTTGGGATGCGTGAAGTTCGTTGAAAATCCAGCAAAATAAGTGATCAGAACATTTCTGAGAAATTTTCCATAAAGAAAAATTCTTTTGCGCATGAAGACATTAATCTATTCCATTTGGTGTAGTGGAAAAAAACCTTTGAAAATAAAACGTTTGCAAGCCATTCTATCAATTTTACCGAAAGAATCTAATTTAATTTCGTTTATCTAAATCATCGTACCAGTCACTTCCAATTGTTTCCAAAATTGAGAAGTTCTTTCTATGGCTATATTTAAAATCTTCATTACCGTATACGCAATAGACCATAATTCGGCACCTTTTAAATCATTAAATTTCCGAGAAATCTATAAAAATAACTATAAATACTAATGTATACTTGATAGAGTGACAATTATTGATGAGCAAATTTAAAAAAGGTGGTTTTGAAACCATTTGCAGTAACAGTAAGAGTCCTCACCATTACTGGTTAGACTCGCTCCACTGGCTTGTCGCAATTGAGCAATATGCCAAGGAGTCTCCTGACGATAGATATATAGATGAATCACCAGCATTACCCGGATTTCTGGGCTTACTCCTGCGGGGAATCGAACCTCAGCATCGATGCTCCCAATCTGAAATTTAAAAAATGGTAGTTTTGCAACCATTTGCAGTAAGATATGAAACTATATCAATAAAGTATCAAAGCTCCAAAGTGTCATTGGGTAATTAGAAAAAGTGAATAAATCATAGTTAATCCGATTTGCAGATGACCTAAAGCTATAACAATAGAACCATAGAAGAATTTTTCAGAAAAGAGCCAATGAATTTTCTTCTTTCGATCGAATATTTATCGTTTAAAAAAATTCTCATAATAATTCTCATAGAGATGTTTTTAAGGTTTTTCTTAGTTAAATTTCCAAGAATCGAACAATGTTTTTAAAAAAAGAACAGTTTACAAAAGATTATGACGACAGTTCGTTCTCTTTCTTCTAAGAGTTTTCACAATGTCCGCTCCACCGGTTTAGTTGAGACTTTATCATAATTCTCCTCTTAATGGTTTGCATGCATGTTTCAAGCAACAAGGAAGAACTGAACGTATGATAGTTCCACCTTAGCAACATATCGCCCAACATTCTACGCTTTAAAGAAAACGCAACGACAATATTATATAGATAGACTGATAATAAGAAAATATTGCTCCCTTAATTTCGAATGCTATTTTTGGTAATATGTTTTTATAAAAAGGAGGAAATGTTGTTTTAGTTGCACAATTAGGCGAGAATATTTGTGAATATATACAATGCGATTATGGTAATTAGGAAAATGAGTAGGGATTAGTAAATACTTTGAATAGAATAATTCTGAAATCGAAAAGAATAAGACACCTGGCATATTTCGAGAAGAAAAATATTTTTATCACTTTTATGCCATTTTTAATTATTCGTTAAATATTTTATTGCTTAAAGCATTTTAATAAAATATTCTTAAATAATAAATATTAAAAAAGTTTATTCAAAATATTACTTTTAATCGTGGTTTTGCCCCGACAATATTCCTTCTTCCACTGCTCAAATGCGAATTACTTAACTTTTTACTTGCATCGAATAGAATTGCTTTTCTTTTTCAATAATAAATTCTAAATTTACCAGTTAAATTATTTGAAAGTACCTTTTAAAATATTTTTTAAAATATTTTTAAAATATTTTTTTCATATTTTATCAGATAATTTTAAATAAAAGTTGTCGAAATTATTAGTGCAGTTTGATGATTTTTATTTCTTGTGAAAGGAGAATTATAAATTTTCCTCCAAAATTATTAGATAAATGCTTCGATTTAAATTGAATATCAAAAATTTAAATTTATACTTTCATTTATTCTTTTATATCTTTTAGAACATTTAATATCACACTTATTAAAGGAGTTTTTACGATTGGAAAATTCATTTATTTATTGAACAATTTTTTCCAGAAAGCTTATCACTTGATTTTATGCGCAATCGCTTTTTTTTAAAATCCACGTAAATGATAAAAATGAATTGGATAATCGGAAAATTTGCCTAAAATTAATTCTTTGAATCCTCTTTAAGCTGATTTAATTCTTTTAAAATCACTTTTCCTAATTTAATTTTTTGTAAATGATTCCACTAGGAAAAAATTTTTATACGGTAAAAATTGAGAGTTGTTTGTAGAATTTTCTCGCGATTGAAATTTGACAAATTTTGAGAAATTGAAACGAATATTAGTAAAATAATTCGATAGGAAAATAACCAAATATTACAATGTAAGGAATATTAATTTATGAAAAAATATTAATTTATGAATAAATGATATTTGGAACAAATTTTATTTTTATGACTATTTAATGATTTCTATCGAAAATATTAAATAAGCAAAAAAGAATTATATGTGGTGTGGCACTGATAAGAAAAAATTTTCCATATGTTATACGAATTTAAATTTACTTTCTGAAATTAATTTTGCACCTGACTAGTAATTTAATTCAACAATAATTTTAAGAAAGATTCTAAAGTATATATAACAAATATTTGAATAAAATTTATCAATTCTAGTCGACTAAATTACATTTGAAATTGGAAATGACACAGTGATAATTTACGATAGTTCGTTCGACAAAATTTTTCATTTTATCAATGAAAACATTGTCTATCACTATTGAAAAAAAGGCGCTCACTCGCCTGTTTTTCACCAGTTTTTTTATAGGTTTTTTTAAAACTACAATTTTCAATCAGAAATGATTAATCCATTTTGCAAGTTTTTATTGCTGAGTGCTTCGGCTTTAAGGAATCTGCTAAAGAGTGATTTATGAAAAATAAAAATAAATTACTGTTTTAGAGCATCTTAGAATCGATAATTTTTAATTTTTTCTTTACATAACAGTAATAAAATGAAAAAAGTTTCTGACTATTCTTTCGATCCCCCTATTATTCATATCACTTTTCCATTGAAATTCATATTGTATGGAAGAATGGTCATCGCAACTATTCAACTTCGTATGAATTACTTTTATTATTTACTCGTTATTTATTATTTACCTATTCGTTAAATATTATTTACTGTCGTCGTCTATTAGGCTTATTATAAAACTTTTTCGTTTTCAAACACACTGTTTACTTTCATCGATATTTCTTTAAAAACACCTTTTACAAAGGAAGAGCATCGCTTTTAACTCTTCGTAGAGGTTTTATATTAATTCATAACGGCAAGAAAGATGTCGAGAAAAATTGCTAACAATTTAACAGTCCAACTATTTTTCTACTTAGCCTATGGCAAACGCCAAATTCTTTAATAAATCTATAAGCGTCTTCATAATGCTTTTCGTTCGCATAATTTAAAAAATCGAAAATATTTATCGTTTAATCCAAAAAAGTATCGTTAAAATTAATTTTTTGTTTCGTTCTCAGCGCTATTAATACAATTTTCTAATAATAATATTTACAACAAATATATCGAAAAACATTTAATTGCTAAATGAATTATTTTAAAAAAAATGAGATCAGACTTATTTCAATTAATTAATGGTAGCAGCAAAACATAGAATAATTAAAGCAAAAAGCAAATGGCAGAAATTATGCGAAAATCATAAACAATAATATTCTTCGAAACACTCGGAATGCTTTTTTTTAAAAAGACTTCTTTCATTTACATTAAAAGAAAAGCGAAAAAGTTGTGGACGAGTTAAGGTCCATTTTGAGACCAAAAAACCACAAATCCAGCACCACAACAAATATTTCTTCTTGCATAGTCTATTAGATTTGTTGAAAATAATACAATAGGTTGAAAGGAATTAGATTTTGAGGTGTAAATAGCAAATTGTTCAACGAAAATAATAAATCATATAAAAGAATAAAGCAAAGCAAAAATATAAAAAGTTTATTCTTCATTTCTTTATGTGTTTTTTTCTCATACAAATAAAGATTTTGATTGAAATGATTTTTTTGATTTTCTGGATGAAAAAGAAATTTGTCATAGAGAAATTTCTTATTATCAGAAAATTAACATATTTTTAGCATTTAGCGTTTCTAAATAACAAGAAAATTTATCTATTTTTTATTTTGCTTAGCTAATTTAATTTCAAAACTTGGATGCTATTAATTTATTAATTTAATGAAAATTATCTTCTATTTAGCGCAAAAATTTTATCAAAAATACATAAAAGTTTATTCTTGCAACGATGAGTGACTAAAAATAAAAATGTATTTATGCAAGGAAAAAGAGATTCAGAGATATTAAAGCATTATTATAATGGGGATAAAGCTGAACTACTTATTCACGAAATTTATCCATTTCTATATTCTAAATCTCCTACGAGCGGGACATTGTCCTCGTTGTTCCTTCTTTGAGAATTTCATGATCTTATCGTGAATTTCTTCGCTCCATTCTAGAAAGAGCGTCTTTTTTCCAAGGACGATTCCAGGACGGCTAATATCATTTGTATCATCTCGACCTAAATTCAACTCCAACATATTATCCTAAATTAAATTATTGAAACAAGTTAAAATAAAATTAAGAAAATGGAATACATTAAAATAAATTTTAAAGGAGTTTGTCACAAAATTTAGCGAATAAAATATGTAAAAATTATGAAATTCATTCGACGTGCTAAATGCGTTATCAAATAGTTAAAGCATTTTGCACTGATTGGTTGCATTAAAAAAATTCGTCGATTTTTATTTTTCAGCAAAATTTCATATTGTTAAGTTAAACAATCAGAATTTAATCGTAAACAAAATACCAATAATGATGTATTTTCGATTAAATCGAATTTTTGGACATTTACACGCGAAATTTTCATTTGTAATCCAAAGCGACTGTTCGCCTCGACGAATTCTCACGCCAGTTTCTCGTTTAAAAATCTTTTCAATTAATATGCGATACTTCGTCCATCCGTCAACATTATCGCGACTAACAACACGTGCCTCAACACCTTTAAAATTTTCTTACATTTCTTTCATTAATTTCTTTCCTCTTAAAACGATAAATTTTTAATTGGACACAACTGTTCAATTCAAAAAATATGTGCCTTTGCAGAACAGTAAGCAATTGATTCGATTATCATTGGATTTGCAGAGAATTTTTAAAAGAATTTTTATATTTATGAAAAAAAGGCTAATACCGTAATCCCGTCGACAAAATTTCTTCAGAGTCAAACGAGAAGAGGCAATTCTGCATTTCCCACAGCCATCTTAATTTATTTTTGGTAAATTTTGCATAAAATTTCGTATAATTGTTCCATGTATTAAATATTAAAAAATGACTTAAAAAATAGGCAAAGTTTATTTAAGTTTATTTATATTTATTTTTGTTTTTTTTATTCAAATATATTTATTAAGTTAATTTTCAACTTAAAATCATTGAAATCGCTGGAAAAAAAAATTTTCAAAAATGAACGCACCGTGCTGATAATCGACAAAATGTATCGATGGCATTCCTAAAATTGTTGTAGGAAATTAATAAAGTTTCTCCATTTTTTTATGATTAAAAAAATTGCTCAAATCTTCATTTTCATTGTAAATTTGTAGGCAATTTTACAAACTGATTTTTTGAAATAAGCTGGAAAAAATCTACACATTTATATATTTAGTTAGCAATGTTGTTATTCATGTCATCATAAATCAATTGATAAAAAATTAAAACAATTGTTGTTGTTAAATTATTATCGGCTAGAAGGGAGAAAAAAATAGCGACAGAAAATGCGATGAATCGAGGTTTTAGGAGTCGTAAATCACCAACTGAGTTATTGATAAAAAGGTCGGCACCGACAGAGACATGTATGAATATTAATTAGAAGAACCATTCATTCATTCATTCATTCATTCACGATCTTTAAAGTTAAAATATCCAAATTATTGCCGTCCATTTTTTTTCATTAATTGATTGGTTTCTTTCTGAATAAAAATAGAAAAATTCTTACGTATGCAAGGATTCAGTGGTGAACGACTTTGTTGGAATCCTTTAGCGCATCGATTACACGTTATCCCTGTTACACCATTTTTACATATGCACTGACCATTTGTCTGGTTACAACTTCTTGATAATGAACCAATCGGATGACAGTTACACGCTAAATTACACGTTTATTCATTAAACTTCCTATAACAGCACTAATAACATGAGTTCTTCTTTCCTAACAGCATTATTTCTGGCTTGGTTTTTTCCACTGGCTATTAAGGTGAAATTCCATTTTTAAAGAATAACTTTGAGGTAACGATGCAGGCCGCCCTTTACTACCATTTAATCTTTGCTTTGACTCCAGGTATCAATATATCATATGAATATGAATACATCACAGAATATATTGGTGCCACAATCATTTTGGTAAGCAAATTATGATAAGCATTTGATAGACGGCAATTTTATTTGCACCTAATCTGATGGAACTTCACCAAAAATATTCATAAGAAAGTAATTGCTCAAATATTTTTCTTTTTCAATTCAGAAATGATATCATATTGCAATAAGGTATAAGCGCCACGATAGAAAAGAGTTTTAGCGAACAAATGCTATTTGCATTAACCACAGACAATGCTGGTGAATATCGAAATTTGGACAATTCTTTAACAACTATTACATATAATTAATTTAATGTTTCTACGTGCTAACATTATTAATAGTAATTCTAAATTTTATATATTTTATCTTAGTTTTTAAATATGTATTTGATATATTTTATCGCGATATATTTTATTTCCATTAATTGGATTCTATGAAAAATTTTCTACTATTAATGAAATTATTCTTACGACAAACCAACCCATTGAACACTTCCTAATCAAGGTTATAACTTTTAAATGAAAAATATCCTTTGTCAACCGTTAAAAAAACTAAATTGAAAAATGTGAAAACGTTTGAAATCATTTAACAGTTGATCAATAAAATAATTTTTAACCGATTTATGGGAAAATTTTTCTTTTTTCACAATTGAAAGTTTTTTTAAAAAAGGAGCAATTTTCTCGGAATTTTCTATTATAGCTAGCGAATATTTATTGGTCGTTTTTTTCTCGTAAATATTTTTGGTAAATATTTTTATTGTTAATAAAATATACCATTGAAAGATTTATTAAACCATTTGACAGTAAACATCGACAATTTTCAAGGCGTATCATTAAAATTATTTAATATCATTTAAAATTTCTAATCAATTTAATTTTGTAGTTTTTGATCATAGTTTAACCAACTTCACTTAAATATATAGGGATTGTTCAAATCGAATTTTTTGTAATAGAATTGTAGGATTTATTGGATTCGATTTCCGCTCCTAAATACTGCCATTAAAAGTAAAATCGGAATAATTGCTGGTCTGTCATTTATACCTCTATTCCCCAGTGAAATTAGCCTTTAGTTGAAAACGGATGTAAGAAAAACTTAATTTTTTTTGCAGAGATTTTCTTAGCCAAGTCATTCCATATCAACTCAAAAAAAATCGTCGTATTTTTCATTCACTGTTCCATAAAGTCAACAAGTTTATTATAAATATTCATAAGAGCTGCAATTCTTTTCAAAATGAAAAATAGATTATGATAAATTATGATATTTAGCAGCTAGCTTAGCTATCAGCCCATATAAATGATTCGAAACATTCTTTAATTTTCAAAACCATTCGTTCTGAATAAAGATTATTAAGATTTATACGAAAGATATAAGCCATTGTGATTAATTTTCATACATTATCATGATCAAACGGAAATTAAATGATCTTCATCGCTTCGTTCAAGCTGAATCACCGAAATAAAGTAAAATTTGACAAATTTCTATACGAAAAGATTTCCCAATATTGCACCAATAATAAAAATTGCACCACTAATAAATATCCAAATTAAGATGAAATGGTAAATGTTTATTGTCATTCTTTTTTGAAATTTTCTCGAATAGATTAGATAGAATAATTTCCAGAAATTTTATCGCTATTTTATCATTATTAAGTATGAAATAATCCTAAAACTCATATCATTCCAGAATTATCTACGCAACCTTAACTATTTGACAAATCACTGACTAATAATTTTCTAAAAAAACATGTTATATACTGGAATAACTGAAAAAAGAAAACTTTTAAACCAATCGATCTTTTAATGGATTTCAAAAATTTCACAAAATATCTTCTATAATATAATAATTTTCGTTAACCATTAATCATTAATTTCATTAAATATTTTAATTCAATTGCTTTTCAAGATTTCAGTGATTTAATCTTTTGAAATGAATGCTTAATATTTTAACGAAGAAAATTAATGAAAATGTGTTCCGGAATGACCACAAATGGTCATTTTATTGACTACTATTTCATTATAAGCGAATTTAATGATTATATTTCGATTAATTTATTTCAATACCACCAAAATAATTAAATTTCAGCCAATAAATTTTCTATTATTGAAAAAGTAATTTTAGTTTTATAAAGCCATAAAATCTTAGGAACGATGATAATCGGCGGCAGAAAATTTTGCTACATTCTCGAATTTTTCTTCTGAGAACAAAAACTTTTCGAGTTCAAAATCTCAAATAAAAATAAAATGAAATAAAAACATTGTTCAGAGGAAAATAGTAGTTGTCGAAGAAAGCTCATTAGATTAGCCAAAGAAAGCCTTGAAAATGCCGAGAGCAAACATCGACAAAAGCCAAGGAATTATATTTTAAATCAAATTGAAAACCTCATGGATGTGGAATGCTAATTTCAGCACAATATTCTATTTAACGTTAAGCGTTTTCAACAAAGCATGCATATTTCGCAGGTGCTATGGTAATGGAAATAAAGAAATACAGACAAAATAATTTCGATTTTTTTGTGTTGATTTGTTGAAACAATAATAGCTTGCATGATAACTTACATTTACAGGCTCTTCGGTGAATTATTGGCTTAGCAATATCTCTGTAATATCCAGGTTTACAATAATGGCAGTTTCTTCCGGCCGTATTATGACGACAATTTATACAAACACCACCACTTTTATTGCCGCTCAACTTATAAAGTTCCATATTGAAACGACATTTTTTTGCATGTAAATTACAATTGCATGCTGTAATAAAAATAAATCATATTTAGATGCAAATTTAGTAAAAACGATTAAAATTCAATTCATTATTTCCGTCGGACCAGGTTCCTTTTTATAATTTAACAAAGGTTGATTGGAAAACATATGATTTCTTCGTAATTATCTTTATTAACTTAATAATTAGCTTGAACAAATGATAGCATTTCGCTTGGAAGATCTCCAGCCATCCATAAATTATTATTGCTTTTACAAATCTGCTATGCCAAATAATACGGTAATCAAAGGTTTCCTTACATGGCATTAGTAATTTGTCTCCTATTATGGTTTTATGTCAAAGATGCCTAAAATACAATCTCTTTTAATTTTTATTAGAATACAAATAGGAATTTCTTGCATAGCATTGTAATTTATTTGTTCATGCTAATTGGCAGAAATGATTACTGAAAATTTCTGATAACGAATAGAAAAAAATAGTGGCGCATATTTTAGCTCTCGAAAATGGTCTAATTAATGGCAATAATTTAAGCATAATAACTTTAAATAATTCACAAAGTATTAATTAAAATAAGTTCTTAACCAATTAATACAATATTTGATTTTCGCTTATGCTTCATCGAGAATTTATTAGTTCGTGCCAAAGTCCTTCTTATTTCAAAAGTATCTTATAATTTTCCATAACAGACAGGTCGATTCCAATAATTTTGCAAGATAAAAATACTACAATTAGTAAAAATTTTTCTTAAATAAAATCATATGCTACACTAATTTTTATTTAATGAAGCGATATACGCAAATTTCCAGAAGATTTTCCACTAGAAATATTATTTATAAATATTATCTATTTATTTATTTATGCATATGTTTTGCTTAAAATAAAGGAAAACGAATGGGCAAAAAATTAAAAAAATGGAAGCAACCATTGAAAATTTACTCTGAATTTAATTTTTCTTTAAATTTTTTTTGTTTTAGTCAATTTTGTCGTGTTATTCGTAAATTTTTATGAACAAATTCTTTGAGAAACACGGTTTTTTCTTCAAATAACAATTTTCTTTTTTTTTACGAATTTAAAGAAAATCAAATTATAATCTCAAAAGTCCAATCTCAAAAGCGTTAATAAAAAGTGTAAGAAAACTCAAGCGAAATTATAAAAGAGAAGAATGAATATCATCATCAACAGCCTTTATTATAATTTCAAAAAGATTTTGACCCCATTAATTTATACCACTTATGCGTCGAATGATAGGAAAAATGACCCCCATTGAGAGCGATATGTTCCCTTTACAAAAACAACCGACAACTTGTTTCCCTCAAATAATTAATTTTTCTAATTTTATTTAATTTTTCACAAATACTAAAATCTTATTTATTAATTAATCTTTATATTAGCTTTGCAATCTGTTTTTTAAAATTGTTAAAAATTATTCTCAAAAGATTTTATAAAAATATATTTTTCGTTAAAAAATTCTATTCATTTCGAAATCAACGACTATGTTCAATTATTTTCATTATTTTCATTATTATGAATCGAAACAACTTTTTAAAGAATAGAAGAGAGAAATTTTTGACTTTTTTCCGAAATTTAGTTACATAGTGCCTTACCAATGCATTGATTAGTACTTGTTGAAGTGGCTCGTCCCCAAGGTCGATCAAAGTGAAACGTTTTGCAACGTTCACAATCAGGCCCAGCTGTATTATGCTTACAATCACATATATATTTGCCCATTTTATCAAACATACATCTGAAAAATTAGCAAAAAAATACTTTGAAGCGTGAAGTTTATTAACAATTCCCATTTGATATTTTCTTTCTGGTTCGATCTGAGGTGAATTTTATCTTACAAAAGTTAGGCGAAAAGCAAATAATTTTTTAATGGATTTTTTAAATTAAAATTTCTCAAGAAAAATAAAAATGTCAATTATCGTTGGAAAAATTGTCCAATTATGGGCAAAAAGTTTTTTCGTGTTTGTTAAATCTTCGAAAATGCATGGCTGCAATAATGTTTCATAGAAACTATGGTATCTCATTTCTCGAAAAAGTTCCATAAGTTTTTCAAGCAGGATTTTGTAGAAGATGAAGTGCAATCCCAATTTTATAACAATTTGCCTTATTTATTGTTTTCTGAGGATGCAGGAGCGATTTTTTACTAAATTAAATTGTTGTATTTGAAAAATTATCAAAAATAAAATACTTTTTATAACAAAAAGTAAAATAATTAACAACCTTGACGCATGTCCATTGCACTTACAACGTCCACCAACAGCTAATTCTCCCATCGAATAAAAATATCTTTGCTTAACTATATAGGAATCGGTTATGTTAATCCCTATATCGTTGCTTAATCCATAAATTTCAGCCTTTAAAAAAACTTTTTATTCGCTGTACTATATGAAGATATAAAAAAAAGCAAACAAATTAAATAAAACTCGTTAACATCTTTTCATTCTTTATTTTTTGGTAAAATTAAGTAAAAGCAATTAAAAAAATGAGACCTGATCAGGGCTTAGGCGATTAAAAATAATTCGAATGTCGGTGGCAGTAACCCAGTCTTGTAATACGGGTGAATGTTCAAATTCAAAAGCGGACGGCCGACCCTCAAGTGTCGCAAAGGCTATTCTATTTGCCATAGGTGATAAGATGTGTGAATCTGTACATAGCGCTTCCTTAATTCGAAATAGAGATGGAGATTGAACTAGAGATGGATTTTAGCTACTTTAAGAAAAAATTGTTTTACAATAAACCGAGCATTTTCATCATTTATCATTTTTATCATAGACTATTAATAAATAATGTTATCAATTAAAGTAAGCAAGAACTCGATAAAAGTGCTAACATTTTGTATAAAAAAGTATTTTGCACAAAAAGTTGATTTTAAAAATGACTCTAAAAATCTGCGGCATTAGGCTTATTTGACTATTTCACTGTTTTTTTTTTCATTTTCACTATTTTTAAATAATAATCTATTATGCGAGAAATATCTTTAATAATTTATTAAATCTAATTGACTAGATTTAACTCAAATTGGAAATTTTTAATTATTGAATTTTCTAGGAATTCAAACAAATTTAAGTATTGGCATTTGTGAAACAAATAAAAATATTCTTTAAAATTTAAAAAAGGAAAGAATCGATAAAAAAAATTAGTAAATTTTAGCTTTTATATGCGAAAAAAATTGCAAAAGAAACTTGTTCATTGTGTTTGTTTATGAGAACGTTTGGCGTTCGTCCATAGATTCGTTTACATTGTGTCGAATAAAATTGAAATGGAATCCATGTCCTTCCAAAATCCATTGACTTATATATAGCCATAGAATCGGGAAGACGGCTACAAAATTGCATCGACACGTACGTTAGTTCATATTTCTTACCAAGCGATAAAGTAAGAGTAATATTATGTGGATATTCGGTAGTTGGTTCAGATACCCAGCAAGTAACATTCTGTGAATTGTTAAGATCGGTTAATAATGATGCTGGATGAGCACGACTCTTATTATATGCATCACATATATCGCACACTTCTTGAACAATACCAATTGAATTCTCTCGAATCGTGCAAAATCTATAATTTATGAACCTATTACAATCGTTTCTTTCGATAGATTTTTTCATTTAAAAATAAATACTTAATGAATTGAAAAAAAGGGATTCGAGATGGATAAAATTTTAACTCTTATTTAATTCTCTAATTAATTATTGTTTATTAATTTTGCATAATTGCCCGTATTAATTAATTAAGCTTAATAAAGTTGGAATTGATAGAAATTAATAGAAATTAATAAGGATTTTCAAGAATTTTTTAATTTCTAAAGATATGAAATTTGAAATAGTATGAAATTGCAACAAATATTAAATCATTAGAATTTCAAAGGATTTTACAAGTATATTAAAATTATCCAGCGGGTATGCTATAATGTAAGCACACATTTCAAAAGCCTGGAAGATACCAGCAACTCATCCGAATTTTTATTGTCAAGCGATAGCATTGCAAAATTAATTTGCCTGCCCCAATAAATCCAGTGGAGCGACTATAATCAAAAATGATGCGAACTTTTAGACAAGAAATACGAATGTAATAGAACGGTCTTTTGCAATAAGAAGGGAATGTTGCTAAATTCCAGTGCTTTTGACTTTTTTAGCGAAAAAATTATGGGAAATTATGGTAATAAAATCTTAAATACTTCAAAAGATTTTCATTATATTTTAAGGTTAAAATATAATTTTCATGAGAAGAATGAAGAAATTCTGAGATAAAATTAAACAATGAGATTCTATAGCTCTAATCCGATTAATCATATGTTAATTTATAGCCATAATAGCACTTATCTTTATGTCATATTTCTATGACCATTAATGATAAAATTTTAATTTGCCAAGTTAGTGATTAAATCCTAGGATTTCTTGTAAATTAATCAATTTCTTGCATATTTCTTAAAGGTTTATAAATTTTACTTTGTTTAACCAAATTTCAAATTTATTACTACAGTATTATCCATTGCTCTTAATATAGTTCTAACATTTTAAAATTCTTTTATTTGAAAATTAGTTTGAAAATCGCTTTTCGGATCAATTTACTTAATTCATGCAATTTTTTCAAACGATTTGCTATTCTTTAATAATGATATAGCAAAAACGATGATGAAAGTTTTATTTTTATTATAGAAAATGATAGTCAGGAAAGAAAGAAAATTTTAAATAATTTTAAATGCTGCATAAAATTAAGATTTCATGAAACCTTACTTTGAAGGCGATGTTAATCCACAAGTACTTGAAGCAATAATAGGTTTACCAAATGCAGCATTGATGAAATCAGGAATGCAACGAACAGAACGCCCAGACGAATCGTAACAAGGATCGTGTTCGGGTTCTTTCATTGAAAACTGTGAAAAATACGCGCAAAAGGCAATTTGCAGCAGTAAACTTACTGCTAATATGAGTAGAATTTTTATTGAATTCATAAGAATTATAGATTTATTGTATCATTTGAAATTATTATTGTTATAAATTCGAAATTTTTATTGATGAAGGAAGAATTTTGGCAATTAATTTAACATATATTTATTTTCTCGGATTTCAACAACACTTCTCGTAACAATTTTACTAAATAAATAATGCGTTTTTCTGGATAAATAAAAATAATGGAAAATATTTCGAGAAATATTCAGGATATTGCGATGAGCATGACCAACCGAAAACAGATTTTGGTGATGATAGATCGAATTCATTGTGATGAAGAGGCAATGAAGAGGCGGAGCTCCTTTATATTTTCTTGGTTAAAAAGTTATATATTCCAGCCGAAATAATACTTTTAGATATTGTATGGAATAGAAAGTTAGTTAAACGAGGCCCGACTGGCGGTAAAAGATAACTGCGAATAAATTATATGATATAATTTGCAAAATTAGCGAAAAGCAAATGACTATCATAACAAAATAAAAATTGAAATTAGGGAAAATAAACAAATTTGACGCCTCGGAAAGTAATTTTGTTTTCCAGCAATCTTCTCGATTTATGTCATATTTCAGTTTTACAGTTGGAATTTTGGTAAAAATCATTTCTGATAACTTCTGATAACTAATTTCTGATAATTTCTGATAACTTATTTATCCCTCTTAAAACTTTTAAAGACTTTTAAAAATTTAAATTTTTAGCTAAATTCAAATGTCTATATTGGATTTCTATTGGCTATATTTTCAGAATACTAAATCTATGGCAATTGGCAATTAATTTGACATATATTTTCCCGGATTTCAATAGCACTTTTCATTTTTCATAATTATTTTAAGAAATAAATCAATGCGTTTTTTTCTCAATAAACAAAAACAATGGAATATATTTTGATAAATATCCAAGGCGTGATGTGATATGTGATATGTACATTTTGATTTTTGATATAGAAAAGTCTTAATTTAAAGAGAAAATTTAAAGAGAAAAAGAACATAATGGTTTTTCTATTTAATTGTCATACGACAACTTTGTTCATTCAACGAGTAGTACCAATTCTGATTTTCTTGAATGGAGATTAATGATCGATATGATGACCGGTAATTGATAAATGAAATTGATGATCGAGAGCCAAAAACTGCCATCTGTTTTATGAGACGCCATTATCATATCCACTAGTTCGACCGTAAAGAAAGTATTTTTAAGATATTTTCTTCAAAATTTGATAAGTCTATTATGCTAGCTAAACATTTATCAAATTTTGATTTTAAAGGAATGTCACCATCGATTTTGGTTTGTCTTTTTGATATTTCGCCAATTATTCAGTGTATTCGAGAATAATTTTGTGGAATTCATCACTATTTAAAGAAAAGAACTTGAAATTAAAATGTAGCAATAATAGCATTTCTGTATAAAATGAATTGTTTTTAAATAATCGTTTTGTTTCTAAAATGTTATCAAATAAAATTTTTGATATGATTTTAAGTTTTATTTTAATTATAGGAGTATAATTATAATTTATTTAATTATAATTTATAATTTTAAGATTACCACGATTATTAAATTGTCATAGAAGAAATCATTTTACTGCCAGTATTTCAAATTCCAATTACAAAACGAAGAATTCGGATATGAGCAAATGCTGTCAATTTATAAAAAAATTAATTAGAAAAATTACTGAATCAGGCGACATTTGGTGGAATTTATAATCGATTCAGGTAGGTATGTCTTCATAGATAACCGATTGAATTAATTCGATGTATTCAGACTTATGGCAAAATCGTAAGTAGTCTCTCGTATAATATGCTTAATAACCCTATAAGAATCTAAAATCTTATCTTTTGTTATTTTTGAAAGGCTTTGCTATTAATATTAATATTAACATCAATTTTTCTCTCACGAAAATGGTTTCGCACCTACATTATAGATGATATTTCTTATAATACTGACCAAGTAAAATTTTATTTTAATTATGGTATATACTTGCCCAATTTCAAGTTTAGAATTACAAGTTTAGAATCAATCTTCACATTTTGCATTCCATTGTTAGTTAATTAGCTTCGGTCTTATCAACAAGTCGATTGCTGATTGCGTCGATTCATGATAAGATTTTGCTTAAAAATTTGGACTTTAATTAATTAATTTCTCATCCTGGAAAATATGTCTAGAAATTTACGAATTTTATTATATAAAAGTACAAATAAGATTTCAAAATATCAAAATTATCAAAATTACTTAACAGATATGAGAAAAAATTAATGCCTTAATGACCATAACGGCAAAATAAAACATTTGCCACAAGGTATTATTTTTTTACAAGGTATTATTTAGATAAATTGGTTAAAGAATCCCCTCAAAGCCTTTTCGATTATATTATTTCTTTACCCTTGACGTCCACATTTTCTGGTTTGGATTGGCCACAATGCAGGAGAGCCATTTAAAAAAATGATAAAATTCTCCAGCTCTACTAAGTCGATTTTACTTTTAATGATAGACTTATTTTCATCAGCAATCAGGAACCGAATGATATTTGACGTTGTCGAAAAAACATTGCATGTGGCTATGCTGCTCACCGATTAAATAATTTAAACAATGAAGTGGTAGTAGAGACGAAAATTTTACGATTCAATTTGAAATCAAATCTCTCCTAAGTCTAGCGAAGTGAACCGCAAGAATGCCAAAAAATAAATGTTTTTTTCCGTTATAAATCATAAATTTTTTAAATATTTATCAGATGCGATGAAGAAACATTCATTTTAATCCAGAAATGGCTTTAAAACATTTTCTTCTTCATTAATTGCCATTTTCAAAATCAAAATCGAAGAAATTTCTATTTACTAATGCATATCGTTGTTTTTTAACTATTTAACTTCAATGAGTGGAAGATAAGAGTGACTCGAGGTTCGTGAGTGAATCTTTTACTTTCATTATCTACTAGTGAAGTTCTAATCGCTATTACAGCGCCATTATTAATGTGAGTAGTCAGTAATAGTCCATTTTATCAACGTCTGAAAATGTCAAAATGATTGACTAATTTAGTCAGAGAAGGAAATGTTTATGGCTGTTGGCTCCAGGCTATGAAGTATAATTATTTGTCAATACATCCAAAGCAGAACTTTTTCTAATTTTCTAAAAACCAATTTATATCCAGCGGAAATAATAAGATTTCTATTTTTCAGCTGATATGAAAAAACTAAAAATTTTTTCAAATTTATTTTTTTATTTTCTTAATTTTGATTAACTTCAACTTTTTTAGAAATTCTTAGGAATCATAAAAAAATTCTTGTCTATATTGAAAACTTCATTTTACCTTTTACCTTTTAATTCGTTTATTAGTATTTTCCTTTTTGCATTTCGCCTTTAAAAGTAAAAAATAATTTCCACTAGTGATAAAATAAATAAAAATTAGAACAAAAAGATCGTAATAGTGCGATGAATACATTTCAGGTGAATTTCATCCGTATGAGAAGATAACCTGGAGTTTTACAGAAACTTTCTGAACTGCAAATTCAACTGAATAAGGATGGAATGGCTAGTCGAAATATTGATTAAGGCCAAGCCATCAGAAGTTCCAATTCTATATAATAGCTGAAGCAAAATCATTAAAAGTGAAGTGAAATCTAAAATCTATTTGCGGTTGAGTTTCCACTTTCTATTGTCGAATAATTCTATTCATTTACATTTTAATAGTTAGTGGAGCCAGTAATACTAGATGTAGTTTCAAAGTAAAAGTAAGATATAAGCATCTATTTTTTCTGGTTCTTTCTCCATCATATATTGCTCTTGCTCAGCAGTGCATAGAATTTTATCCTGTTGGATGCACACACTCGAGTAAACTCGTTCGAGATTCTATGTTCTATTTTTAATGATAAATGAGTGCTTTTCGGAGAGGTAATATTGCATAATTTTAAGGCCATGTTTTGCTTTGGTCGCTCCAATTTTTATTGGACTTCAGATCTCCAAAAATTCATATTTTTAATTTTTTTACTTGATTTTTTTAACATATGATGCGCATATCTTCCAAAATATGTGGGCCATTCTCGGAACCGGAGATAATGCTATAGAACTAGCCATATTATAGTTTAAGGTCTTTCAGCTAATGCTTATGCGAAAATCTTTTATCTTTTTAAAATCTTTAAAATCTTTTTTTTTCTAACAACTTCCACCATTATTGGTTAGGCTGGATCCACTGGCTACAAAAGTAAAACGATTTAACCGACCTGCTATTAGTTATCAATCAATCAATAATCAATAATCTCTTCAATATTCAATATCAAAAGAAAGCGTATTTTCTCATGAGATAAGATGCGGATCGAAAAACTGATTTAAATATTTTAGTTATTGTTATAGTTATTATTGTTATGGAAATAAGAATCGAAATAAGAATCGCGTATTTTGCTGACTGATGCAATTTATGCAGTTTGTTGGCGCAAAAAATGGGCTCATTTACTGATAATATAAAATGTCTTGGGTTATTTTTGGATTTCATTATATATTCACTTTCAGATGAGATGGCTCAGTGGGTTGTTGCTTAATTGGGTCGCCGACGCTGAGGTTCGATTCCTCACAAGAGCAAATGCACAAAAATCCGGGTGATGCTGGCGACTCATCTATACTTCTATCGCCAAGGGACTCCATGGTATATTGCTCAATGCGACAAGCCAGTGGAGTAAGTTTAACCAGTAATGGTGAGGATTCTTGAAAAAAAAATTCTATTACGAGTTCAACCATCACCATTCGTTTTGCGAGATCCGAGCTTTTTTATCAAACTTAAATTTACGATTGTTACTGAAGGTTCATTTTTTTATTTTTTTCAAACAAATTGCTAAAATAGTCGATGGCACTGAATAAACCAACAGTTTTGATTGTTTTTAAAAGAAAACCAAGAAGAATGGAAGAAGAATTCGCAGAATTATTTTTTATTTTATTTTATTCACCATTTTTATTGATGTTCTTTTAGAAAAGTTAGTGGGCATAGGAGTTTTATGCTATAATATTTTGAAAACCAATGCATTTAAGGTCAATGAGACCGTTCAAGAATGAGGAACTTTTAAAGACGGTATCTTAAAGGTAAACAAATCCACTATATGAAAGTTCTTCTCAGATGATCATCTATCTTCTTGCATTTTCTTTTACTTCACTATCGAGGTCGAGGTTTTTTTATTTAAAAGTTAAATTAAACTTTTAATTTCAATTTCTGGAAATTTTAAAATCTTTTCTATGGTTTATATGAATTCAAACGAACGAGAATTTTTATGATACATATTAATACAGAAAATTTCAGTATTCATTCGATCAATTTTAACCAGAAATCAGAGCAGTTCGAAGGTGATAAAATTGTATCTGATGGTAGTTATTGTATTTCAGTTTTTCATGGGATTTAAGTATTTAGGATTTGCTAATAATATTTTCTAAGGTCATATTAAACTGAGGTGAATATTGAGGAATATGCTCTTGTTCGATGGCGGTAAGTCCAATATGTGCATCTATCGAAGCTCGTGAATATACCTACATGAACGAATGCATTTTCAAATGCCTTGCAAAGGGCCGACCTAGTACAATGATTTTTTAAATTCTTGTTGATATTTATCACATTTTGCTTTATTTTTTCTATTTAATTTCTTTCAAGTGCTTTTTAAGGGCTCAAATTCTAATTGAATTGCTTTAAATTTGAATTTGCTTTAGTAGCTTTAAAAAGTGTGAACACAGTAAATATAAAGTAATGAAAAAATGACTGAGTAATTTAATGAACATATAGCAAAATAGACCGCTGTTTATGAACTTTTATATTATAAACGTTTCATCTTCATTATTAAGATGCTCGAATACTTTATGAAGGTCCATGCTGTCGCCTAGCAAAATGTTTCCCATTCGATATGCCAGTTTGCGACGACAATGGAAAGGTGCTTTATCATTTCTTTAAAATCTGTAAAAATTTATATGGATAGATGCGACATCTTAGCACAATTTTTACTTATTGCAAATTGCTCAAATTTATTTTATATTTCGGTGGAAAGACTTTGGACCAATACCAAAGGTTCCTCTTTTTGGCACCTTTTTTGCAGGAGTAAACATGTCCAATAATCCACGTGATGCTGGCGACCCACCTGTACTTCTATCGTCAAGGTACTCCCTGGTATATTTATCAAGTCAGCGGAGCTAGTTTAACCAGTGAAGACTCTTAGGAAAAGAAATCAAAGATTCATATAACAAACCTGAGGAAGAGGAATGAAGAAATGATTTTTCATGCATCTATAGGATATACCGAGAAATTAAGAAAATATTCGTCCAAATAATTAAGAAACGGTTCCAACCCATAAGCAAACAGCAAGTTTGTGAGAAAAATATAATTTTATCGCTCCATCTTTCAAATGATTCATTTTATCTGTATTTATTTATTCATTTGATTACCACAGAAAGCAATTTTGATATTAAAAAATTAGTATTTACAAAATTTGCTTTTTGATTAATTTGTGCAAATATATTTGAAACCAAAATTTTTGCTAAATAATAAAATTTGGAGTAAAAATATGGGAGAAATTTGAATAATTTTTTTAAATTATTTAAATTGTATTAGGCAATTCGAATTGTTGAAATCGAGATTTTGTTACTTTAAAAGAATTTGAAGTATTAAAAGATTTGAAAGCTTATAACCTTATATTGATAAGTTTGAGTAAATATTAGCAAATTTCCAGATTTATTCATCTCTGTGTGAATTTGAATATGTTCAATGTTTAGAAGGACGAATGAAAGGCCGTTATTTGAGTATAAATATGAGCAGCCCAAAATGCGAATGTCTGCACAAGTGCAATCAGACCTGGAATCCTATATGTGATACCAGTGGACACACTCATTCAAATCTTTGCATGTTCATGAATTTCAAATGTGTTGTGGATCCAAGTTATGCTTTCTTTTTCTTCTTAATAGTTTCTAATTAGGCTGATGCCACTGGCTATTAAGAAAATACTTGAACTTGACCCGATTTAATGGATTAAAGATTGATGATTCACTCGGATTTCACTTTTAATGCCAGTTTCACTCTCATTAGAAGATGGGAATCGAAGCTATAAAATTTTGATTCTACTCGAAGCAACGCATTACTCGACCATTCTCTTCCTTCTTCTCTTCCTTTCGCTCCCCCAAGTTGCGTTATCTTTTATCAAAAAGCTTGTCGGTAATAAATATTTTAAAAAATTTAATTCCTTTTTCCTTTTCTTTTTTTTCCTTCTCCTTTTGCAATTTTTTTAACTATAAAAAAAGAAGAATATGAAACTGCGAATAAGTGAAATAATAAAATATCCAAGAAAAAAGAATTTTACGCACCATTTTGCCCAAAAAATGAATAGAACTTTTTTCGTCATTGATTTGCAAGCTTTTAACGTTTTTTTATATTTTATAAAATATTTATGTCATTTGATTGATGCATTTTAGAAATCAGAAGAATATGCAAATAGATTATATGGGAACATGTTGCGAGAGTAGCTGTTCGCCAGATAAGTTGTTATGCTATCAAGTTATCTAAAACGTTTTCGTGGCCAAGAAGCCATCATAAGTAGGATTAAAGTATTTAATCACCGAGCCAGTCGCTAATAGTTCGATAATTTCTTCCTCTAACAGCTCTCACCATTACTGGTTAGGCTGGTTCTAATAGCTACAAGGGTAAGACGCTTCCAAACGGCGCGGTCTGATGTCGACAGTAATAGAAGCTATTCCTTTTTCCATCGTCTAAGTCCATATATTGCCGCTCCATCTATCTTTCCTGGCTGTATCAGTGCATGTTTTAATTGGCCCACCTTGCTTTTGATGCCAACCACCACACGATTTAGCAAGTAATATGCAACAACTCTTGTGGTGGACGACGAAGAACGTATCCTAACCAGCGAAAGAAACGCTCTGTGATAATATTATTAATAAAGGTGGTGTTTAAACGAAGGTGGATGCGATCATGTGAGATTTTATCCACTCGGCGAACCCGTAAAATATACTTTAGACGAAAGTGGTCAAAGGCTAATAGCTCACTAATATCTTCCACTCTCATTGGCCATGTCTCAGAGCCATATATTAAGATCGAACGGCTATATAGATGCGGACTTTCGTTCTAATGGTAATTTCACGACGACTCAATAAAGATTTCGTCAACCGAAAGAACGCATTTTTAGCTGCAGTGATCCGGGTTATAATATCGTCTTTTGGTCATTTGGTACTAGAGTGGACCCAAAGTATTTAAAATCGGGCATTTCCTCGACCGGCAATGAATTTAAAAAAAGACGCATTTTATCAGCTTCTTGTACATAAGACGAAAAGACTTTCGTTTCGTTTTGTACATTGACCCTGAGTCCAATTCTTGCTGCAGTTTCTGATATGTTATTTAGCTTTACTGGCATTTCGTTATAACTGTCAACAAAAAGAATTATATCATCAGCGTATTCAAGATCTGTGAAACGATGCTCTAGACTGATTTGGATATCCCTTGAGTGTCGACAAGCGATCTCCATTACCCAGTCTATCGCATAGTTGAATATTATAGGGAAAAGCACGCATCCTTGAAGGACACCAGTTCTTATTTGGAAGGAGTCACTTCCTCATATACACAGATTTGCGCGACATACGCTCACAAAATGCCTTTATGAGTCGAATGATCTTCTCTCGAACACAGTTACATTCCATCACTCGTCAAAGCGCCTATCAATTGAATCAAAGGCAGCCGCAAAATCGATGAAACACGTGACAGTGGGTTGCAAATATCTGAAGCGATGTTCCAATACCCTTCTTAACGTGGATATCTGGTCAGCACAACTGCGCCCTGGTCTGAATCCAGCTTGATTAGGGCACATACTGTCTCGTACTTCCATAAGTCTGTTGAATAAAAGGGAAGCAAAAATTTTCGCTGAGACATCTAGTAGGCTGATAATTGTCACAGCTGTCCTATCACCTTTCTTGAGAATTGAGAGCAGAATTGCTTTACTCCAATAATTTGTTTATATTTCTTTTTTCCATGCTAAAGAGTACATTTGTTGAAGATGCGTTATGAAGAACGGCATTTGAAAAGCTCAGCCCCAAGACCATCTTCTCCTGGAGTTTTGTTGGCCTTAAGCTTATGGATAACCGATATTATTTTTTCTTCTATCGGGGGCAAATGCAAGGATATGGTTCAGCGAACGTATCATTTATATTAGGGGCAATAGATGGCGCTTCATGGCTAAATTTGGCCTCAAAAAATTCTTTCCATCTTATCAGGCGGTCCTTAATACTTTTGACTGGCACGCCATTGTTGTACCTTACCATTTTACTGATCGTTCCCCGAATTATAGTTGCTTTATGAACAAGGTGAAATAATTTCCTATTATCACCTAATCGAGCCGCCGCCTAGGGCTATGTCACTCCAATAGTGATTTCTGTTTCGCTGTGCTGCTTTCGTTCCAAATCTTCGAAGCATCTGTTAATCAGGATCACCTGACATTCGTGTTTTGGCAGCTTTTCAGACAGTTGGACAGTTGCTTCTGATACCCAACTAAAACACCTCCTATTAGTATGCCCTAACGTGGAAATGGCTGATTTTCGGAGACATTCCTTTAGTTTGGACTAGTCATTTGCCGTTCCAGAAAAGTCATATTTATACCACTGAGATGCTTCAATAATTCAGTTTGAAATGCGCTCACTGCCCACGAATTTTTTAGTTTGCAATGGTTTAAGGATCTTTGGGGATGTTGTTTTCTGCGGATTTTGGCTCGAACCATAATATGGTCAGATCTATGAAGATTGCCCATTTCAGCGCCGCGGTGGGAATGACTATCTAGTACGGAATTCTTCCAACGGTGACTGACTAAGATATAATCAATCTGGTTGAAGTGTTGGTTGTTCGAGGAATTCCACGTGACTAGATGTTTTCTGCGATGCTGGAAGCAAATATTAGTAATAAAAAGTTCATGCTCTTCGGCATAACGAAGAAGGCATTCCCCATTGGCGCACCGGTCTCCGATGCCATATTTGCCAAAATATTTGTAGAGGTCATCCCAGCGGCTATTATGATCTATGCGTTTATTGCAGTCTTCGACTATGAAGATATCATGTTTTGGTAGAGACTTTGTTAGCAGTTGAAGTCCCGCATAGAACTTATCTTTATCACCATCATCTGCCGACAGAGTTGGAGCATAGACACTGATGACACTGATGACCGAAATATTGCAGAACTTACCCTTAAAACTGGCATAGGCTATACGGTCGCTTGCCGGTTTCCACTCAATCAAAGCGAAATGGGCTTTTTCAGATATGACAATTGCTTCGCTATTTCCTCTCGAGTTATCCGAAGCACCATAGTGATATAGCCAGTAGCTCTGCTCCGACCCAGGATTAATAATCACTCGAAACCCAAAATAAGGAAGATGGATCATCGACAAGCAAGCGATATCCACACGATATTTAGACAGGGTGTGGATCGCTTGGCTTGCAACGTCCATAAGCGTTCTGACGTTCCACGCTGATACGGCTAAAAACCTCACCACGTGTGCAGAGAGCTGTTCATCTTGATAGGTTTCAAGCAATTATCTTACGAGCATATTTATCAGCCTTAGGATCGCTTTAAGCCTTTTGTGCACTTGTCGCATGTACCACCGGGCTGGGAGTATCATGCGCGTTGGGAGACGTGGACGTATCAAAAAATATCTGACCCCTTCATAACAGAGTCACTTGGGGATAGAGATACACGTGGGTCCCCAGCAGCCACCGGGATTTTTGACATAATAGCAGGTTTATTTCTGCCAAAGACAAAAAATTAAATTTAAATAAAATAATAAAATAGACAATGAAATTTAAAAAAAAATAAAAGAATAAAAAGGCAATTAAACCTTAAAAAAATATATATACATAAATATATATAAATACATATATATATATATATACATATATTATTTATACAATTTAATTGATTTGATTTATAATTCATTTAATTTAATTGATTTAATTTTCAATTTATTTTATCTTAATCGTTGTTTGGTAAAATAAAAAATTTAAAAATTTAATAAGACTTAGCTGAATTGAAATGAAAAATAAATTCATAAAAATAAATCGAGAATATTTTATTTGAAACGACCGCACAGCAAAAAAAATTTTTTGAAATAGTTCGATAATACATGCAACTCAAGCAAAAGTGGAGATTTTAAACTCAGTTGAGATTTTAAATTTTACTTTTATTTTTAATTTAGTTTTTATAAGAATGAATTACTTTAAGATTTATAAAAAGTCCAATTTGCGATTCAAATGGAAAAACTCATCGAAATATTTGTGAATTTTTCAAAGAACATTGCCGACTCTCGAAAATTTATGATAGAAAAGCTGATTTGAAAGTCGGTTTATTTTGTCACTCTTATCGGCACTGCTTATTGTAAAGCGAATTTGTATAGCGAAAGATGCAGTATGGCCAAGTGGTTTATTATAAAGATTAAATTTCGAGTATTTTAGTCCTTCGACAACACCTGCTCTTAAAGAAAGTCCTGATGGTGTTGAAAAGGCATTCTTTCTGACTCTACGACTTTTGCGTAGAAATGTTTAGCCTAGTGGCCAAGTTGATCAAGCTTAAGCAGATAATGGCTAAGCATTAATTATTGCTTCCATTTAATATTAAAAAAGATTGAATTAGACTGTTCATTATTTTTTTTTTCCATGAGATAATAATTTTGAAAATTCGGGCAAAAACAAGAAAATTAATGGAATAAAGGAAAAGTGAATGTAAAGTTAAATTATATGAGATTATGAGATTTTTATATTATAAGAATTAAATAAATAAGAAATTTTGCTGTTAAGAATACTTCAATAGTGTTATTAATTGGCATTTATTAATGAATAATGAATAATAGAATCGTAATTGAACTATTTTAAATAAGATTTAGATTACTCTTAATTGTAGTAAATTTTTCTATTAATCGCATTAATCCATATATTGGAATTGGTGCATAATTAAAGCGAATAAATTGCTTGCATATTTAGATTGATGGGTTTGGTAGATGCGACGACGAAGAAATGTTCGTTTTCGAAAATGAGCGAATTATTGCTAATTCTGAGCAAATCATGCGTTCTTCTCAACAAGCGTTTCATGAAGTCTTTCAGTTCTAAATGCATTTGTTTTCCTTCAGTTTCTACGATTAATTTGAAGTGACAGATCGTTCAACAAAATTACTAATTTGTCGAAAGAAACGGCAATAATTACGATAATTTTTTTTCTCAAAACTATTTTCATAAACGTAATAAATAAGTGAATAAGTAAGCAAAAATGTATTTAATTTGACAATTAACAATTATTAAGGAAAAGATCGATAAAATGAGAGGATTTCGTGAATAATCTCCTTATATAAATAAGATTTTTTATATAAATATCTATCTAATTTTATAGTGAAATTTTAAAGAAATATAAAATGAATGCGTGAAAAAGAATGGTGTTTCCGTTGAAATGACGTTAATTTTGGCATGAAATTCTATAATAAAAGCAGCCTCAAACCGGAAATAAGAAAAGTGTTTATTCGCCATAAATAAGATTTGAAACATGGATATTTGTCGATTTTATCGCTTTGGGTATAGAAAATTGTTAATAAATATATTTGACTAAATTATTAAGTCTTAGATGGACATCGTTCATCGCTTAGGATTACCTAATCTCATATTTGTGTTTTTTTGTGAACAAAAAAATTTAACCTTTTCGCAAATATGTGTTTGATAATTTATCGATATTTATCAAATATATTATCTTTATGCGATAAATTTTTAATAATTTCATAATCACTATCATAATCTTAATCCGTAATTGCAGCTGCAACTCGTAATTTTTTCAACATTTTCTTTTGCGGCAAAATTAACTGGCGTGAATTAGGTAGTAATGAAATGCTTTTTATATGTGACGCGATTCATTTAAATATTTGCCGTGTCAAAAAATAAATGAAATGAAAATTTGCTGCAAAAAAAGCGGAATGATTTAATGTAATAATAAATTCTTCTTATAATAAATCGTGAATTTAATTAAAAATTCATGAAAATAATGGCAACTTCCAATGCAAAATCCGAAATCTTGGGTGAAGGATTGTGCATCAAAAAAAATTCACTCGCATCATTATACGGCACTAAGCGTCACGCTATGCAAGCCTCGCGTTGCATGCACGTCAATCTAACAATTCCAATTTTTTATTCTTATCTCATTCCTTATTAATATTTTAGCTTAATTTAGAAATATTAATTCGACACGAATGTGATCAATCATAGTTTAAAAATAAATTTCTCGATTTAAAAGATGAATATTGATAATTTCTGGATTTACGACAAAGCGCATATGCGAATGAATCTCATATTTTGCTTCTTTTATATTTTTATTCTTTTCATTTAGAATTTCCAGTTGTTAAATCTTAAAATCAATTTTTAAAAATTTCTTGAAACTATGATTTTGCTTAAAAAATTTTTCTTATTACACGCTAAAATATTTACATTTTTTTAAGAAGAAAATATTTATAATCCA